GAGTATTTTGAATGTTTATGAGCGACCTGAAAATTAATATCGAACGAACTTTTAGCGACCTTTAAAAATCAAAATATTGATTTGAAATATAGAGAATTTTTATTATTTTCAATCTAAAAAATAATATTGAGACGAGAAAAAAAATTAAAATAAAACAAAAATTCAATTTTTGAAATTTTTTAAAAATGTTGAGCGACCCCTAAAAAATTTTTAATCGAGCTGATATTTTGACAGGCCTTTTACAGCCTGATAAAGTAACATATTTTTACAAGAGACGAGAAAAAAATATATTCTTTTTTTTGGGCCACCCTAATATATATATATATCTTATATTTTTTCGGGTGGTGTGTTTATTTTATGCCATTAGTGCACTGTATTTAAATCACTGTTATTCTGCAAGATGTCCTGTAACGAAGAAATCACTATAAAAATGAATTAGTCAAAGATCTCATAGCGAAAAAGCAGCCACTATTAATTCTTAATTTGTAATGGTCTAAAAACCGATACATCGGCCGGTTGAAGAATTCTTATGGCGTTTGGATAGATGACCTCAAGTTTTAACTAAAATTTATGAGCTATACAATTTTGTTCATCTTTTATTATTTACCGTGTTATCAAGTTCCCCCAAGAAATCCGCCCCTGAATTTCACCGAGTTGTATACGTGCTTGATATTTTATAATTTATCATTCGCAATTTAAATCGCAGTAATTTAAAACCGTTTATTTCCGATTTAAATTCAATTCCGCTATATTTACTTTTGCTTATTGCCACTTGTTGAATTTGTTTTATATATTTTAATACAGTTTGAGATTCGTGTCTTACGAACGATACCCTAAAATACCTTTTTGCCTACTTCTAAATCTAAAATTTAAATACTATAATTGTTAATTAAGGCATTGTTTGGTTTTGTTAATTAATAGTTATTTATCATAAGGCTGAGAAGTTTTTTGTGCGAAGCCGAATTACAAACAATATTTTATTTGTTAAACGATACATAAAATGTATTTACTATAATAATTATTATAATAACAATTATTAAAAGTTACTAAAATACACTATTTATAGCACTATTAGGTATAAATTTTAGTTATGTACAAGTTAGGCAAAATGTATCTATAAACAACATAACCTATTCTTTTATTGCGTTATATCATAACATTGTGACCTATATAAATTACAAATAAAAGAGATAAATTGTTTAATTGAAACACGACCCCTTTTTAATTAAATTCATATCGCTCTCATAAACACAAAACGTACTAATAAACTTGTCAAAATGAGAATAGTTAAAATTTCTTACACAATACACACTCGATTAATGGTTATCAAATTAACCGGGCATTATTTGTATAATTGTATAATTCTCGGTAGAGAAGCAACAAGTTGTTCTATTGCTTTTCTTTTGCCATTTTAGATACTGAAAAGCGTGCCACGCCACCTACTTTTCTTTAGTTTAGGAGAAGATAAATTTTATTAATACTTAATAGACGTAAGTAAGTACGGTTTTATTACAGTTTATGGCCGGTTAAGTGATGAGTTTAAAGTAAATAAAACGGTTCAAGTTTTATAATTAGACGAGTATTTTTTTCTTTTCGATAAATGATTTCTTTGAGCTTTAAATGTTTGTTAATTTAAACCAAATATTTACCAAATTTACTGTAATCTGTTAACTAATTGAATAAGTAGTTTGAAATTATAATAAACATTTTGTAGATAATAATTACAAAACCCTATATCAATAATTTAACAAACCTTTTTGTAGACCCAGTAACAAAAGTATTTGTTGTAAATTGGGAACTTAAATGAAAAAAAAATTGATAAGAAATATTGCTTTATTAATCGATATCCTAAACACAAAAATAACATACAAACAATTAAATAACACACCATTCTGAAATCAAGTTATAAAGAAATAAATAAATAAAATAAACAATATAATTGAGGAGTGATTTTTCAAAATGCCGTATTTCCATTTTTACTTGAATGTCATTTTTCGACAAAATCACAAAGGTATGGCTAAAAGGCTTATATTAAATGGTGAATATGTTGCACAAGATGTTGAATGTCAAGAATATGTTGAAAAAGTGAGCCAGAGATGGATATCCTTAAAATATAAGCCTTACATATTTTTCAATATTGTTAGCACAATAAAGATATTTTTCCATTATTTTTTTTAAAACGGTTTTCAATAAAAAAGTAATATTTCCAAGTTTGTACACAGCAAAAAGGCACATTTCCAAAATGATTTCATACAAAAGATCTTATTTCCAAATAATTTTCAAAAATACCATTGCTATAAATATTTAAATTTAAACCATCAATACGACAGCAGGTATGAAATAGTAATATATATTCATCAAAAAAAATAATTTTATATTCTATATCGCCCTAACCTATACACTGTATATTCGTTTTTTGAAAATGTGTTGCAAATGGAAATACAACCTTTTGAAAAATAACTTCTAAATTATCAGTACTACTACAACACTTATTGATGTATTTCGTAACTTTTTCCCACTTTACTGTATCCCCCTAATTTCAGTTTGAAAATCAGTAATGGCATTTTTTTTTCGGATACTTCGTACTTCGCACACTCGTTAAATAGGTATAAGGAATCCGAATAACAATAATAACAGATTTCTGGTAATATAATATAAACATACTGGACAGTTGTTACGAACACGTTACGAGTTAGAATAAAGTGAGCAGAAACATAATTTGCAGACGCTGAAGTCAGTTGAACTTGTTGATGCGTATTGTCAGTGGAAATTGTTTTGATTGACTGCCTGAAATCGCGTGTACTTTTTCAACTAATTAATTTGTTAAGCGTTAACAAAATAATCTGTAATGTTTGAAATTGACAAAATGCAAAATGTTAAGTAAATTCTATAAGATTATAGAGTATAGAAAATATCATATCATGTCAGTAATGACATTTTGAAGTTGTCGATTGTTTTGTTTAAAAAATACGAGACAGTTGGTGCTATCGATCCGAAAAACAAAACGCAAAAACGGTAGCGGTGGCAACGTTGGGTTTTTGCAAATCTATCGCCGTTGCCGGGGCGACCGTACGATTAGTCGACGCCTATCGCGTTGCCAGGCGACGCTGTGAGGTCGTCGCGGCGCCCGTCCTCGTTGCGTAACCGACGGCGAGTGGCGACGTCGATACTCCGACGCGAGCCGACGTCGTCGATAAAATGCGCGGCCGCAGAAACGCTGCCGGAAGCGGCGGCCCATTGGCGTAGCAAGATCCGAAACAAGGGTTTTGTAAAAAATATACGTTTGCTTGGAACTTTTTAAAAGTTCGTAATTTACTTGGTAAAGAAAAAAGGAGTTGTTAAAATTATTAAAATGTTGCTCAATTAATAAATACGCAGAAAAAGTATAACTTTTTTAAATTAATATACACTTCGCGTCAAATTTAGCGCACGACTAAAAATTTTCCACAACTTCAAAGTTGATTTTCTCGCGAACCGTCAAATCGAATTTGGTGTTTTTTTGTAGTTTTATTCTTCGGTAATAATGCGTTTAATGAAATGTTTTTTTAAATTTACATTTTGAGTATACGAGGTGTGTTCAGAATACAACAGGAATTGTTAAATTTCGCGGGTTCGGAGGGTCCCGTTGTCATAAAATTTTCTTTATTATGTTGGTATACATGCCCCCGAAGTTTTATAAAAACTTTAGCTGTTTTCATCATTTACTTTGTCTGTGGCAGCAGCTAAGGTTAGACGTGTTTTATGAGCTCGGCGATTTTCGTTCGTTAAAAAAATGGATCAAAGAAATTTGTATCCAATTTTGCTTAAAAAATGAAATAAATTCTGTGAAATATTAATAAAGGCCTATACTGCCGTGCTTAATGAAAACGCCGTAACCAACAATTTTGCGATTTTTGTGTTACGGCATTTTCTACTAGAACAATTCATCCTGTGTCTATCCCCGGTACTCAAAAAACCGTATATATATAGATACTCGTCATTGTTCGTGGAGGTACCATAAATAGTGTACGATATATCGAAGACATTTTATCCGAGCTTGTTGATAACGCAAGATCTCACACCGCTCATATAGTGCATCTCACACCGCTCATATAGTGCAAGAGTATTTACATGAGGTGGGTGTTGAAACTTTAGACTTGCCTGCAAATAGTCCGGATCTCAACCCCATTGAACATTTTTGGGATAATATGGGTAGACGACTAAGAAATCATGATCCCTTGCCTGCCTCCCTTGATGACGTAGCAAATATGCCATTGATCAAGGCAAGATTAGACATCTGGTTTCAAGTATGAGCCGTCGATGTTAAGCCGTAATTAGAAATACAGGCGAAAATACGCGATATTTATATTCTTTAATGTTGGGTTTATTGATTTTGTTCATTTTTTTATTGTTATTGTTATTTTATTAAACTGGAGTTCTTTATATTAAACTGTATATTTATTTAAAAAAAAAAAGATAACGCGGTGAATTAAAAAAAAATGTTAAGAGGAGATGGGGCTTTAGTTTGTATTTGTATTATAAGAGCTGGTATTAATCTTAACCCAACCCACCCCTGTATATACTTAAAATGTAAATTTAAAAAAATATTTTAATAAAGGCATCATAACCAAAGAATAAACCTACAATTTAAAACAAATACTACCAAATTCGGTTTGACTGTTCGGGAGAAAATCAACTTTAAATTTCCAAATCGTATAAATGATAAAGACCTATTTTGTAATCCATTTGGACGTGATGTTGATACATATGTACTACACACTCTATACCGTGTCAAGGCAATTATTGATTCCAAAATCCACTATTGCATTAAGTCTTTGGCAAACCTGAAAGGTCTAAAAAATGTATATTCTAATGATCTGAAACTTACATTTTTTAGTTTTTTATACTTTAAAAAATGTATGTACGAGAATTACTTATAAATCAAAAGATGCATGCTAGATAATTTTTGGTAAAAGTATTGATATTTTGTTTGACACAATGTTTTTTGTTACATTTTGTAGTCCCCATTATCGGGCATGCGAAGTGCCCTCGATTCGCCAATTTGCTTCCCGATGAGCGGAAGCGGAAGTAGACAATTTATGCCGCCGATGGGGGCCTACGGAAAAATGGATGCGGCAACGCCACAACCACCGCCCCCGACCGCCAACATACACAACTACATGCATTCGCAGGTGGGAAATTACAACAAAAAATTTCAATGATTACTGCCCAACTGAAACCGATAAAACATTTGAAAATGAAATAAAAGCGCGTTGTAAAATCAAAACGTAATTATCAGATCGTAAAGTGTAAGCAGCTATTCGGTATTAGACGTCCCGTCGACCACTTGTTGATTTGGAAATATTAAAGGCAAATAAATGTATAACATGCCTGAAAGGGAAAGTGCTTCTTGTGTATTAAACTTCTCTTTCTCTCTTGCCAAATGTTTGTTATGTCTTGCTTCTTGAATGTTGTGAAAATTTATGGCGATTTTCAAACTTTCGCTGGGTAAAATAATGGGGAATTATTCTTTAACATTTAATTTACAATTTTAGTTTCAAAGTTTCAATTTTAGCGTATGCGCCGGGGTTAATTTAATAAAAATAGTTTTTGGGTATTTTACAAACATATTAATTTACGTTAAAATGTTTAATTTTGCAAATCCATTAAAAGGTTATATTTTAAAACAAATTAATTACAGAATATTTTTTTTTAATAATGGTTAATAGTTCTATATAATTTAATTTACAATTTTAGTTTTTAAGTTTCAAATTTGGCGAATTAAATTTAAATTTGGTTAATTTAATAAAAATAGTTTTAGTGTATTTTACAAAAAATTTAATTTAAGTACGTTTAAACGTTAAATTTTGCAAATCCAATAAAAGTTTAGGTTTTAAAACAAATTATTTACAGGATACAAAATTTTAAAATAATTGTTAATAGTTCTTTATAATTTTTTACAATTTTAGGTTTTAAGTTTCAAATTTGGCGAATGCCCTGGGTTAATTTAATTTAAATAGTTTTTGTGTATTTTTAATTTTAATTTAAATATTAAATTTTGCAAATCCAATTAAAGATTAGATTTTAAAACAAATTATTTACAGGATAATTTTTTTTTAAATAATGTTTTTATGTGTATTTTACGAAAATTTTAATTTACGTTAAAATGTTTAATTTTGCAAATTCAATAAAATGTTTGATTTTAAAACAAATTAATAACAGAATAATTTTGTTTTAAATAATGCTTAATAGTTTTTTATAATTTAATTTAAAATTTTAGTTTCAAATTTGGCGAATGCGCCGGGGTTAATTTAATAAAAAATAGTTTTTGGGTGTTTTACAAAAATATTAATTTATGTTAAAATGTTTAATTTTGCAAATCCGATAAGAGGTAATATTTTAAAACAAATTAATTACAAAATACAAATTTTTAAAAGATATTTTTTAAATTAATTAAATTTATTTTCATTACTATATTTTAAATATACAACTTTTAAATTTTTTTTATTTTTTTTTTTTTAATTTTTTATTTAAAATAGTATATTTATATATAGTTTGATAAACGCCATTTTATACACGAATTTAATTTATGCACGAGCGAGCTTGCGAGCCAGTCCTTAAATTAATGAGTGTATAGAAAAGTTTATAAACGAGGTGCATACTATACTTTTTCTACGACAAATACTTATTATTATCTTAAAATGATTTAAATCAAAAAATTGTATAGAGCGCCATCTATGAAACAACAGGGGAACTGTCAAATGTCACATTTTTACATTTTATAAACACAATTATAAAGGTTATAAATCGAAATGTATATTGAAAATAGACAGTTTTTCACAGTGAAAGTAAAGGAAATGTTTTATGAGCACTTTACAGTGGAGTCCGTGTCCGAATTTAAGTTATAGTTTACTGCCGGCGAAATTAAAAGGTCAGTACAATGTTCATATAAACTTTTCAAATATTGGCGTTGAGAAACTATTTAATACTTTTGTATTTTTGTATTGAGATAATAAATAATTTTCACATTTAGTATTATTTTACAAGAAAGGCACTGTATTTTAACGATTGTATGACATTTGACAACTGTCAACTAACTTAAAACTAACTTCAGCCCGTGACTAAAAACCTGTTGCTAACTTCAGCCCGTGACTAAAGAGCCGTAAAGCCACAACTTGTCAATGCGTATTTAAAAAGTCACTTAGTGTCATGGAAACATGTACGATAAAGGGCGTTTTAAAGGTGGGAGTAGAAAAATATATTTTCTACATTCTTTCAGTGTTTCAATCCAAACTAAAGACATTTAAATTCAACTTTTTTGATTTTACACTTAAATAACACAAAAACCTCAACTCAACGTAAAGGGCTGAATTTAGCAACATGTTTTTAGTCACGGGCTGAAGTTAGTTGACAGTTATCAAATGTCATACAATCGTTAAAATAAAGTGCCTTTCTTGTAAAATAATACTAAATGTAAAAATTATTTTATTATCTCAATACAAAAATACAAAAGTATTAAACAGGCTAATCGTTGAAAAAATTATATGAACGTTTGTACTGATCTTTTGATTTCGCCGTAGTAGTACAGTTAATAAGATTTAAAGCGTTACAAATTTTGCGTAAAGTGCCTATAAAACATTCTCTTCTCTTTTATTGTGAAAAACTGCTTCTATATCGACTGTTAGTCTATTTTCAAGAAATAAATTTTGTTTTGGACAGAAAAGTTTGAGATTTAACGCCGGTAGATTGCTAAGTTAAAAATTCTAACAGGAATTCCAATAAATACAACTGTCACTTTTGTTATAGCCTAACCCTCTAATGCAACAACAGACTGAGATGTGGCATAACTACCAAGAAAGTATGAGACCTAGATCTTCAGGTAAAAACAACAACAAAACAAAACAAAAAATCAATAAAACTAATAAAAAAACTTCCACACTTCAGGCATTTCGCCGTACATGATGCAAGATCCTTATTCGCAAGCACAGCAAGACTGCAGCTCGCTCATGATGGAAAAACACCAGCGCCAAACTCATTCGGTGAGCAGCACCTCGATGTCGATGACGCCGCCGCACTCGAACGAAAACGTGCCGCCAGACGAGTGCAGCCGAGAGATGCCGATGAACAATGGGCAGTCAAACGACGCGTCTTCGGGGCCCATCGACTACAACGTCAAGAGCTCCGAGGCGCAGCCTCTGATGGAGAGCAACGTTATGCAACCGCAGAACGAGCAGTTTGTAGTTGGGAGCATGGGTGGCCAGTATGGGGGAAACTTGCAGAATTTCGAGAAGCTTGAGGAGATGAAACTAAAGAAGGTAAACATTTTTTATTAATAACTTTTTCAAATACGATTCTCGAGTTAATTAAACATTCAATTTTCTTAGTTTCTAGTTTCTTCTTGAAACTAAGAAAATTGAATGTTTACCTTACTGTTTAGCTCGGTTGGCTAATTGTAGATTTCTTTAGGCCTTATAAAGTTCTTTTTTTTATCTGGACCGGCAACGTTGCAAATTTAAGGTTTTGGTTGGTAAATACGGAACCAAAATTGGTTGCATTGATTAAAACAAACTAAACTATAGTTATAAATGTAATTATAATGTAATTGTGGTTATGTTTAAATTATTGTAGGTAACAGTGAACAAAACAAAACAAAATTCGTAGTTAAAAATGCAATTAATTTGGCTTTGGTGGTGCGTAGATGAGTAAAATCATATAAAAAAGTAGTTAAATATAGGTGACTACGGCCCAGGAGAGACAAAGTATTCCTAGCGGATAATAATCTTCGCTTTGAAAAGAATTTATACAAAAAAAATTAAAATTTCATGTAAACACACGTGAATGTTGTCAAATCATTGGATTCCAATGGTAATGGGTATTTTGTAAAAGCCACTGGACGTTAATACTTGTAGTGGCTTGATAATAATTATATATAAAGTATATATTGTCCAGGACTATTAATGATCAGTAACTTGCAAATTGAAAGAAGAAAAAGTTTCGTGATTATTATTTATCTTTTTCAAACCAAATGGATGCTATTTTCAAAGACAGGAAAATTAACTACTACATTTTTCACAAAAAACCTAACAGCAAATAATTTTTATTTTTTTTATTTATTAAAATTTAAAAAAAAATTGATCTGCTTAGCTGAAAATAATGTGTTATTTAATATTTGTAAAACAAAAAACGTTACTTTTTTACTCCAAAAATGTCCATATACTTTTTCTGCCATTGAGGCACTTGGCATAACTTCATCGAAATTAAGTTTTGCCCTTTAAAGTTATTTTACTTTAGAATCTGATATTATTTTTGGCATAGTTATATTATATAATAATTAACAAGTAAATGATCAATAATAAATGTTACTGTCAATTTGACAGTGTCAGAATATTTAATTAAGGACTTCAGCAGATCTGCTGAAATGGTACTTCGAAGTACCATTTTTTAAATACTAAACTGGCATAAGCTACCAACTTAATAAAAAAACTCGAGTCCAAATAAAAAAAAGAACTTTGCCGTGCATTCTTGGTTGCTTACAACATCACGTGATGTTCTTACATTTCGCCGCGGTTGGCTCAAGTGGTCTTTTGTATTGAGTGTTTTCCACTATACCAAGTTGCCCGACACTGATGAGACCCAATGTAGGTCGGTATTTGAAGTTGGTGGAACGCACTCAAAACAAGAACTCTGGCGAGGCGAAGGTTCAATTCTCTCGAGAATTATTATTAATATTATTCTTGTGAAAACAAAATAATTATTGATACTATTGCTCTTACCTTTTGAGTGTTTTTTTATCAGACTGCGATGCGTGCGACTGCGCCTGCGCCTATCGTAAGAAAAAAACCCCTTCCAGATTTTAACGAGGCATTCGGTTCGACGGAACGCGGCCGGTTCCAAAGCCCTCCCGATCCGCGACTGGCACCGAACAACGTCGACTATTTCCTCGACAGCGAAGAAATCAAGTTTGAGGATTTTCAAATTTAATCAAAATATTGTCGACATATTCAGGAATTTTGAAAAGGTCGAGATTGGGGTGTTTCATTTTAAACGACCATTTTTTTTCACCGAAATATTGTTCAAAACATCGAAAAAAGTTTGAGCACTTAATTTTGATTCTAAGTATTCATTTAGATTTTTTTCCCATTTAAAAACATGTATTTTCAATCTTTTTTTTTAATTTTTATATCTTTGCCGTGTTTTAAGCATATTGTGCTTTATTGTTACTTACAGAGTAATTAACGATTTTTAAAACAGCCTATAAGAATTTTTCTCTAACTCGATTACCCTTGATGGTATCAGCTCTGAAAGTAATTTATTTTACTTTTTTCACATTTTTGTAAATATTAAGAGAATGGCTTATGTTACCGAAAAATTTTAAAGGAAAATTTAATTTTCTAAAAAAAGTCCCAATGCTTATATCGCTAAAGTGCACAGTTTACAAGATATGAGCAGTTTATTATTTAAAAATTTGAAAAATTTGTGTTTTATTGAGATTAATTTGTCTTAAATTCTTTCCATGACTATTAATTAAATATCTTGTAAACTGTGCACTTTAGCGATATAAACATAAAAACTTTTTTGTAGAGAATTAAATTTTCTACAACTTTTTCCCTTAAAATTTTTCGGTAAGACCAGCCATTCTCTTAATAATTTCAAAAATGTGAAAAAAGGGGAATCGAGTTAGAGAATATTTCTCATAGGCTATTTAGAAATTAGAGATTAGAAATTTAAAAAAAGTGTTTGAAAATACATGTTTTTAAATGGGAAAAATTCAAAATGAAGGAAGTACTTGGAATCAAAATAAGGGACTCAAACTTTTTTTTCGATGTTTTAAAAATATTTTGGAGTTTAGGTGAAAAAAAATAGTCGTTTTAATTAAATCACCCTAGTAGAGATGATATCTTATCCAAAACGTTTATATTAACAACCCCAAAATTAAGTAAATACAGTTATTGGTTGTGTTCACAGCAAGGTTTTTATTAATTTTATGATTTAATACGCTAATTAATTACAACTGGGCAAAAAGACCAATTTTTAAATAAAAAGCACAATATATATTCGTTTAAGAATAAAATCATACAACGAATATACATAAAAGCAATATATCAACATTAACTGAAAAGCTTGCAGTGAACATTTTTTATTGTTTTACATAATACGAGCAAGTGTCACATATCCCAATAACATTGTTTATCCCATTTTACTCAAATAGAAACCGTATCTTTTCAACAAAATTTTAAATTGTGCCTTTGGGGACTGCACACATATGGCCAAAATTCAAAAATCACAATACATTTTTTTATGGCAAGGTTTTTGAGAAGTGAATTTTTAGTATTTTTTTCTGAAATGATACTTAAAGTCCAAAAATAAAAAAGTTGTTTTGGTACTTGTACCAATTTTTCGTAAATACCATATTTTCTTCGTAGATAATTCGAATATTTCGATAATTTTTATTTATTCTTGGACAAAAGGTAAATGTTAGCAGGCCAAAATATATTTTTTTTAACATCAACAGTCCTGTTCAGGCATATTTTGGGGACCAAGACAATTTTTTTTCGTTTTTAGTTTGTCATAGTACAAAACCGTTGAATCTCAATGTCTCATGGGAATGAGAACAAATCTAGTCAAAAATGTACATACAAATATTAATAATCACCTGTTAGGACTCAAAAGTCTTACAACTAGTCGAATTTGTAATATAACTTAATTAAATTATGTAAGGTAATATAGAGAAATATAATATGATGTAGATTTATTTTGATGTGCTTAAGGACATCTTAAACATTATGTACAGTTATATTAAAATGTTGTTCATAGCTTTGGAGTGGTAGGTTTTCAGGATAGCTGGTAGTTTAGTCCTGACAAGCCATTTAAATGGGAAATGACGTATATTATGCCAAAATTCTTTAAAACTATTGACCAAAATTATACAAGCAGTGTAAAAATGCTTTTAAAAGAAGTTAAACAAATGATACGCAATGTATTATTTAGACATTTCCCATTATATAAGGTTGTGCCTTAGTAGTTATTTCAAAATTTATCAAAAATTTTATTATTAAAGAGATCATTTAATATAAAGCTTCCCGTGTTAAGAAGAATTTATTTGGGAAATTGTAAATAAATGAAGAAAAGATCAAAATGCTTCCCAAGTGTAATAGCGATATATTCTAAATCTTCCTTTTAGTCTTCAACATTCCAAAATATTCCACACCACGTTTAGTTAATTTTATTGATCTAAAAATAAGTAATGAAAAATCAAATGAATAACCAAAAATTAGATAAATGAGGTCCATTCTTTATATCTATTAATATACATACATATAATTGTGATTGTGATTTTAGTTTAGTTGCTAGGATAATAAGAGAAAACACCAGATTATATTGTACAAAATAACTTATGTAAGAAAAGTTAAATATTCCCATTATATTATATTGTATGTTGTACTTAGAGATTTTGTTTGTAGGTCATCATGTTGAAACTCATTATTTTTATGTGTTACATCCATATCAAAGTGATATCGTTCAATTAAGAATATATACTTACTTTAGCTGAAACGGAGTTTTACTTGTTTCAGAACACCTTCCAAAAACCAAACCAATCCAACTCCATGTATCTCCCCCTCTCCTGCACGAATTTTTGTGCTTCCCCCGAGCTGTTCTCCAATGATACCAACTATCAGAAGGAGTATATAACCAAGTACTTTCAAAATATGTCGGAGTACGAGGTTATTAATGTTGTCGGAGAAGATGGGGTTATTTTTCCGTATGCCACTTTCTCGAAAAGTCAAGATCCCAACGAAATTTTTGACGATATGGTGACGCAGCCGAATTTTATTCATACCGATGTTGGGTATATACCGATGTTCGACAATACCTGCGAAAATATTTTAGATTTAACGAATATTAGCGTGAAAAAGTAAAACTCAAATTGTTACAAAACAATATTTATTTTTAGACAACAAATAAAATATAATCTATAATACTATTAATGTATATGAAGAATATACAAAACTTTAAAAATATTTACAAAAAATATTAATTAAACCCATACATGTGTTTATATCATATATATATATATATATATATATATATATATATATATATACATAATAACATTTTTATAAAAACTAATAACTAGAATACTTGAACCACATAGGTGAGTAATTCTTATTTTATTTAAGGTGCATATTTTATTAGGTATAACAGATAACAAAGTATCTCCTCATCCATATTGTAAGTAATTTTAATATAGAGCTAGCCGTGTTAAGAAGAATTTATTTGGGATATTGTAAAAAAATGAAGAAAAGATCAAAATGCTTCCCATGTGTAATAGCGATCGATATATTCTAAATCTTCCTTTTATAACTATACTCTTCCACATTCCAAAATATTCCTTTGAGTAATTAACACCACGTTTAGTAAATTTTATTGATCTAAAAATAAGTAATGAAAAATCAAATGAATAACCAAAAATTAGATAAATGAGGTCCATTCTTAATATTTATTAATATACAATGTATATTATACATACATATAATTTTGATTGTGATTTTAGTTTAGTTGCTAGGATAATAAGAGAAAACACCAGATTATATTGTACAAAATAACTTATGTAAGAAAAATTAAATATTCCCATTATATTATATTTATATTGTATGTTGTAGGTACTTAAAGATTTTGTTTGTAGGTCATCATTTTGAAACTTATTTTTATGTGTTACATGCATATCAAAGAATATATACTTACTTTAGCTCCCCCTTTCCTGCACGAATTTGTGTGCTTCCCCCGAACTGTTGTCCAATGATACCGACTATCAGAAAGAGTACATAACCAAGTACTTTCAAAATATCTTGGAGTACGAGGTTATTAACGTTGTTGGAGAAGATAGCGTTATTTTTTTGTATGCCACGTTTTCGAAAAGTCAAGTTCCCAAAGAATTTTCGACGACATGGTGACGCAGCTGAATTTTATTCATACCGATGTTGGGTATATACCGATGTTCGACAATACCCGCGAAAATATTTTAGATTTAACGAATATTAGTGTGAAAAAGTAAAACTCGAATTGTTACAAAACAATATTTATTTTTAGCCAACAAATAAAATATCTATAATACTATTAATTTATTTGAAGAATATACAAAACTTTAAAAATATTTACACAAAATATTAATTAAACCCATATCATGTGTTTATATCACATACATAATAACATTTTTATTAAAACTAATAACTAGAATAATTGAACCACATAGGTAAGTAATTGTTATTTTATTCAAGGTGCATATTTTATTATAACATATAACAAAGTATCTCCTCATCCTTGTTCTAGGTAATTTTACCTATTGGTAACTTAGTGTAATGTTAGTAATTAATTAGTTTGAGATGTAAAAGTTACTTTGTCCTATTTAAGTTAAGTGCGATTTGTACAGGAGACAGTTTCACATTTTATTATTGAAAATACACTTTTATGAAAAATGGAATTATGACACAGAATATGGGCATGTTTTTAAAACATTAAATATGAACCAAGAAAGTTTTTTATTCGTGGTAGATGAAATGTACAATGCTATGCCAACATATGCTTTATTTTCCTATAAACTTTTTTTAAACCCTTCGCCGACTCCGCTCTATCCACAGTACTAAAAAATGCAATACAATAGAAACAATATTAAAAGGACTTGGTACAGTTCCCTCTAAAAGTAATAAACGTTAAAAAATTGAAGTTATTCCGTTTCCGAAGCGGTAGTTTTCATAACGTATTTTACTGTGAAAGCAAAAGCCGCAAATCCTATTATTACAATTAGGTTGGTAATACAAGACTGAATACTACTTGGTTCGGCTACTGACCGCAGAGTGCTTGGTCCCTCTTGGCTGCTACCCTGCATTGAATTTTTTCTTTTGGCCAACTCACTCTAAAAATTATACAAATATACAAATTATTTAACGTCGAAATGCCCAAACAAGTTCTTAAAAGATGCATTTAAATTGACAATTTTATAACCATTTCAGGCGGTAAGTATGGCAAACTAATAATCGCGTTTTTAAAACTTATTTTGTCTAAACTCGACCACTAATGTTTTTACCAAACATACTGTTAATTTAAGTATTTCTAGTAGCAAAAAAAATCAGCTGTAACGCAAATGTTAATGTTACAACTGGTTAAATTAACGTTAAATTTACGTTATGCATGGTCGATTTGGTAGTTTTTGGTTTATTTTACCCTTTTTAACTCTTAAGTCAACTTAAACTATACTAAACTATAGTACATAATACTTTCATATTTTAAGTGTTTTTAAAATTATTTCTTGTAAGCTCCATTATCACACAAAACTCACAACCTATAGATTTATATATAAAGCTGTATTGAGGCCAATTTTTCTATGCAGGTAACAATGAAAACTGCAAAACCATCACTTTTTTTTAACCAACTTATTAATTAACGTTAATTTACCAGCCAGTTAAATTATACAGGGTGTTATTTAATTAATGTAATATATTAAAATGGGTAGTTCCTTAGGGTCCATAAAGAAGCACCTGAATTTTTATTTGTAAATTTTAAAAACTAAAAATAATTTATAATAAACTTTAGTCTAATCTGGTTGCCTAATTTAATTTATTATGTTATGGTTGTAACAACCAGCGTTTCCAGATTCTGTCAAAAAAGTTGCCAAATTTATTCAAATTTAGCTTAATTACAAAAATGATAAAATCAACAATGAAAATTGTTAATTTGGCGTTTTTATTAATTGTTGATTATGTCATTTTTGCAATAAAGGCAAATTCAAACAAAATCTGGCAACTTTTATGATAGAATCTGGCATTCCTTTCAAATTTTAGGTTGTGCTCAAATTGTAGGTACTACATTTTCGAATCATTTCTTAAGCTAATAGCTGGATGAGTAACTAAATACAGAAGGGTATTAGAGCTTTAAAGGCATACAACTTTTGTAATTATTGTGTTTTTATTTATTTTTTGCAAAAAAAAATTTTAGTAACAATTTTTTACAACTGGCAACGCGCAGCTACTTTGTTGGTTGGTATCTATGTGCTCACAGAATACAAGTGTATGATCAGTGGCGTATCACAAAAAATATAAAAAACTTCTAATGTATATTTTTTCTTTCTTTGAAAAAATATATTTAAAAATATTTTTCTGTTACACCTTATGTCAAAAGGTATTCAGTATTTTAATATATTACATTTTTTGTTTGTTAAACTTATATGCCTAAGTAATAATTGCCAGAAAAAGAAAAATAACACCACAAATATGAAAACAAAAAAATAAAATTGATTTTTAAGTTAAGTATTTTAAACTTTTCATGCACTTTTAAATTTAACTTGATAAAAATTTGAATGTTTATAAATATTTAAAACAAGTCATATAAATTCAAGCATTAAAAAGAGAAATTTACTGACCCACTATTAAATTAATATTAATGAAACCTAAAATATACGGTCATTAAAAACTAGTTACTTACCTCAATAGTAATAACAGTTTCTGGAAACAATTCACAAAAATGCTTGTCTTTCAAATTAAACTCCAATGATTGCAAAGCAAATTGCCTCTTGTCATAATCAGTGGTGTCAATACTACCTAATGTTGGACTCTTTTCAATCTAAAAACAATTTCATTTCATCAATTAACAAAACAAATAAATCCAAATAAAACTCACCATAAAGCTTAGTAGCCCAGTCAAAATAGTGGATACACTCCATGCTGGATTCCACGTGTCAGGATGAAAGTCAGATATACTTAAACACAATTTCTTATTGGTTTTAAATCTACCGTTTGGAGTTATCATGTAAATTGAGGGTGGTTTGAATGGAAACTCCCTTGGAAATACCAGCTTTCCATGGTAAAAACCACCTTCATATGGCGTACTTTCAGGACCACACACTACGTAATGCCTAAAATAAAGCAATTTAATGTTTTTTAAAATTTTAGCTAACAATTAGTATATTTTAATATAATAAAAATATGTTGCAACTTAATTGATGATTTATGAGCCTTGAACAATTAACACTGTTTAGTCTAAAAGTTAAGTTATGAATAAAAATCTGTTTACCATTCAAGTATGTTGGATGGTAAAGGTTCAGCAGTGATATATGGGACAGGATCTCTTTTCAGTCTTAAATAATCCTGCTTTAGCCTTGATGTAGCACTGCTCGGTTTTCGATTTGACATTTTAGTTCTTATTTACACTCAAAATCACTTCACAACCCTCAAATAGCTCTGAACGACCACATCATGATGATTTTTATGATGTTTGGTTATAAAAACTACACCATAGATAACAGCACAAATGGACGAATGTATACGAACAATTTTTAATGAACGCACTGAACGTCAGAATTTTTAATTATGTTCAAGTTAGTAGGTGTTCACTTTGTTTAATTATTTACCAATTGTCAGTTTATGCAGATTATTTCCAACAATTTGGAAAAGTAGAAATTTTTGACATTTCAGTATGACGTAAATACTTTGATTAGGCAACCAACTTCACAAGTGTTGTTCAAAGTATCTTTAAAATTTTATTATTTCAAGGTTTAAATTCAAAGACAACGTACTATTTTATGTTCTATAAGTCAGAGGTGGATTATCCCTAAGGCAAACTAGGCACGTGCCTAGGGGCGCGAGGTTACAAGGAGGCGCAAGTTTTTTTGAACACCGAGTAGGTATTTACAACTTATTGGTTTGATTATTTAATCAGCACGTGAGTATAAAACAAAATAAATAATTAACATAAAATTAAAATTGAGTATGAGTATAAGAAACGTATGGCAGGCCCCATCGGCAACGCCTAGGAGGTCGTGGATGGTTAAGGCCATTCCCGAAATTTTTTCGTCGGGCCGGACCATACGCCCGATTTAGGCTAGTGGAGTACGGGACAAGGAGGGAAAATATTTTGGTTTTTGGGTGACATTGAACTGACCCAAAACTAAGTACAATCTGGAATCCCCCTCAACCAGGGATATAGTAATGCCCCCATTTATTTGGGGTTCAAAAATGAGGTTTGGTTGGTTAGTACGCTGCTAGGACCTATCTTTGCTGGTCTTAAGACAATTGTAGTCTGCTGAAATTCGGAACTATCGATAGATATTTGTCTTCATTTTGTTACGCTGTTTTCAGTAATAATGATTGATTATTGTTAGGTTTTTGTTGCGAATTTGCGTATAAGGTCATGCGATTAATTGGTACCTACTTATCAGATTTTTGCAGATAATGGCCGAGGGTGAGATCTTTAGGTATGCTGTCATTTATCACTTAATTACTTCCGTCTCCGTATGGTCTTTATTCACTATATTTACTTGTTGGGGTTGCTTTATAATGCACTAATTTAATGTTTCTATTAAAACTTTGGACAACAGGTACACTGATTTTCGTTGTCCAAGTAAGGGTAAGCACACGTGTCCTGGCCTATACCTAATTATAAGTATACGCCAGGACATATGTACTTACCCTGATAATATTATAACTGCGAAAGTGTGTGTGTTACTTCTTCGTGCAAAAACTACTATTGTGATAAAACTTGGTATGTAGATAGCTGGGGACCGAAATTTCCACGGTATGGGGCATCACGCGGGTGAAACCGCAGGGCACAACTAATTATTATTTAAGTACTAGTTAAAATTTATAATATATGGCCGCTAAAGGGGCGCCGATGAGGTGCTTGCCTAGGGCGCTCTCGATATTTAATCCGCCTCTGCTATAAGTATATATTTTAGAAATTCCTCGGCAATTTTTTAATGGGTACCCTGACACAAAATAAAAATTCAATTTTGCTAAAGCACGGTTTATCGATTCTTTTTGGAGATTATTTAAATTTTCATGATTATAACGATTTTGACAATATATCATCAATCATAACAATTGAGCTATTCCGACGAACGACCAATCATTTTTCTTGTCTTGAAACAAGCTGGGAACTTTTTTATTCGAAAACTAAAAATCCATTTTCCACACTTTTTGTATTTTTTTTTACTTTTATTTTTTTTTGTTTTTAATCTTTAAGCGACTCCAAGTTTTTTTTATCTATGTTAGATCGTGGCTAGCGAAAAATTAATATTTTTTTTCGGAATTTTTAATTTTAATAGTTTTGATTTTTTATACTTTCGGACAGCTGTCCAGGTAGCACAACGTGACGAAACCGTGACGATTTGTGTCCAATTGGACACAATATTGTGTCCAATTGGACACACATCGTTACGGTTTGTAATATCAAAAATGACTTTTTTTATTTAATCTTTTTATATATATATTTAGCCCTTTTATTAATTATTATTATTAATAGGTAATTATTTTAAGATTGAAAATCAATGAATCAATCATTTTACTATATATTCACGATAACCCACATAACACAATATATTTTAAAAATGTTGTCAGGCCGTTTAGAGAACAATATTTATAAATATAAGGTTGATAAAATGTTGTACAAACATTCAGGGGAAAATATTTTTATAACTGTTACGCGTAAATATATCTAAAACATTCATAAATATCATGTAAATATTTTTTAACATTTATTTCGCAATGTTATGTAAATATTATATCCTAAATATTGTGTAGTTATTTAACAATATTTATAAACTTTTTGAAAAGTTAATTCAAAGTTTTGTGATGTCAGCGCCTCTCGATAAAAAGGTCTGTTGTCTGAGGCTTTTATAATCTATGGTTCGGCCATTTTTGCTTTGTTGAGTGTGTTTTAAGTGTGATGCCCTAGAAAAACCTGTGTGCGACGCTAATAATAAATTATCCAGATTGAGGTATGTATTATGTTTATTTTTATTGTTTAGATTATTATTTATTTATTAATGGCTTTGTTATCTATGAATGGTAGTGTACTAAATCACGGCGGTACGGTACCGCGTTATTGCCACCATATTGAAGACGATTATTATATCAGTAAAATTCTTATTAACAAAAATTTTAAAACCAGACAAATTAAATTAAATTATTTTTAGCCTCCATCCGGAAGAATCCGAAAACAAATAATGCGACAGAAAACGAAATTTTACCAGAGTTGAGACAATGGTTGGCCCAAGATAAATTTAGGAAAAAAAAATAAATAAGAAAAACCGATACTGTGATGGGCACGGGGTGGGGGTACCCCATACTCATGCAAACGGCAGTAACCCAAGGCGATTTGAAGAATCGCGCGAACTAAATTTAAATATTGACAGCGCAAGCAGTGTTGTCAAGTTTGGCCAAAAGTGATCGTCTAGAAAATTGACAGAGAATACCCTACGTTGTGTTATTTTAGTTCGCTTCTAGATAGGTGGAGTAGCCAATGAGAGGAGACCAGAGTAGGTAATAAAACACAAAAAGTATGGTTGTATGTTTTCTCTATTCATTGTTTGTTTACAATGGAGTTTTTACAAAGGTTTGGCTGACGGTAGTTAGCGTTTTATGTATTGCAGTGTTTATTGAATATTGGTTTTTAGTTAGCGTTTGTTATTTGGACTTTGTCATACCAAGCGTTAATAAAGCAGATTTATAAAATGTTACAAGTGCAATTTACCCCTCCCAACAATACAACAGGTTATAAAAATGAATATTATTGGATGCAAACCGTTTTGTCTAGTGTATTGAAACCTTTTATAGCTATCTAAACATATTCCGCTACAGTGTACATAATAAATGCATAGTTTCCATATTACATATTACAGTATGACCCCTTTGTCGGTTAGGAACTCTATTGGCGAGCTCTAGTCTTGTGAAGAGATTAGATTAGATTAGATTACCTTATTTAATAATAATAATACCTCCTATAACCCTCTTCCCTATCGCAAGCAGGCACAATACACCAGACAAGCATTTTTCACGCCCGTCCGCCATCTTACCGAGCAAAGAGCCGCGTAACTTACTCTCGGCCAAATATCCCCAAAACACAACAAATCTACATTATTAAACTTGGTTAAAATATACAACCACCTTAGTTAGTTAATTTAAACAAGGTAAAGGATCATTTTAGCTTACCTACAAGGTTTATTTCTCACCACAAAAACCCACGACTCACTCGGACGACCTTTTAACTTCACCTGTTGCTTTTTTTCTGCCGCCCCGCCAGTTCTCGACCTCGCCCAACCTAACGGGACAGGGCCGGCTTTAGCGCGCTCGGTTAAACAGGACCCCATTTGAAATATTCATAAAATACCAAACCGTACAACCCAATTAATTAAACGTTATATAATTCAAGTATTTTTAAGAAAGGGCAACGCTGCATTATTTTAAAAACTTAACATTAATTTCGAATAGGTAGGATGCTTTACGCGTAGATGTATTCTTGGTTGCGTTTTTCTCGTTTTACGGAGGGCGGGTCAACACAGACGCCCCTTTGAAAGATGGCGAAGAGGCTGTAGGAATCTTGGTCATCCTTTCAACTTCAACAGTTGAACCCGCTTGGCCGACGAGGTCCAGTAGTAGGTGTCTTTATCTCACTGCAATTCAGTTCCTCAGGTTGCCGCTCCCAAAGGACATCACAGTGTACATGTAAACAGAGAACAGAGAGTGATGAGTACAATGCACAAATAAATACAATACAAACATTCTACCCCAAAATGGCCGTACAGTTCATGGTAAGCCTGAAAAAAACTAGTGCAAAGGGATTGGGGTAGAATTAACCGTACCGGGCCAGATTCGTTAACCTGGAAGCACAAGAGACCTTTGTGGAGAAAGCAATGCGGTAAAAGTCTATCCTGTCGATGATTTAACGTCACCGCCATTCCAGACAAAATGGAACGGATCGGGCCGAACAAGGGGTCAGCACTTTGATGCTGTGGTAAGTTGGCGAACTCAGTGTGGAGCTGGGGAAGCTGGGAAATATCGAAAAGGCCGCAAAGTTTGGTTTGCAAACTGGACTGAGCAACTATGGGTTCTCGGTCTTTCGCCGCTACATATTCGGAGTTGGTGGGTTGGCGGGACAGCACGTCAGCAACGACATTGTCCTTACCCCGGACATGTTCAACTGTATAATCGAACTCATTCAAATACATTACCCAACGCGTTAACCTATCATTTAACAACCTACTCTGTTTAAGGAATTTTAGGGCATGATGATCGGTACGAATTATGACACGATGACCTAACAATAGGGTGCGGTATTTCTTTAGTCCAAAGATAATGGCTAACAGTTCTTTTTCAGTCACTGTGTATAACAATTCAGCCCCACTAAGAACCCGACTAGCATACCCAATGACCAAATGCTCACCTTCAGCATCCTCTTGGTATACCTCCGCCCCTAAAGCATACCCCGAGCTATCTGTCTGCAGAAAAAAAAGGTTTCCCATACTCCGGAAAACTAAGCATTACAGTATGCAGAAATAGTTCCTTGACATGTTGAAAAGCCTTAATTTCACCGGGTCCCCACTCCCATTTTACAGATTTTCGCAGTAGACGCGTTAAAGGTAATAGTGCATCACTGTAATTTTGGACAAAACGTCGATAAAACCCACAGAGTCCCATAAAACCCCGTAACTGTTTGATATTCTTGGGTTCCGGAAACTTGGCAATGCACTCCACCTTATCAGTGTCCGTCCGAATGCCTTTGGACGTCAGCAGATGCCCCAAGAACTTTACCTCAGATTTTACAAAGTGCGTTTTCGAGAAATTTACCGTCAAGTTGGCTGATTGCAACCTCTCGAATACCGAAGTAAGATGGAAAACGTGATCGTCGAAATTATCAGAGACAACCAAGATATCATCAATGTAGTTGAACACATTTTCTCGGAGTTCTGAACCCAGAATGATATCCATGGCCCGTGAGAAACTGCCCACTGAAACCTTTAACCCAAAAGGAAGAACTTGATAGGTGTAACTGCGGTGATTGTACATAAACCCCGTGAATTTGGTAGAGTCTGGGTGCAAGGGTATTTGCCAGTACGAGGCTACTAAGTCGATCGTACTTATGAATTTAACGTTGGAAAATGAGGCAAAGAGGTCTTCAGGGGGTTGGGGCGCGTCATAGTCGGAGACCATTCTTTCATTCAGCCAACGGGCGTCCAAGCAGATTCTGACCGTCCCATCTTTTTTTCGAACCACCGTCATGGGACTACAGTAGGGAGTCGCCTCCTGTTTGATAATACCTAACGACAACATTCGCTCTATTTCCGAATCAACAGCTTCACGTAGACTGAATGGGACCGGGTAAGTCTTCCTCAGGAATGGCGTTTCGTCAGCCATGAGAATTTTATGTTGGTACAGGGAAGTAAGTCCGGGTTGGTCGCTGAACAGGTCCCGGAACTGAAGGAGAAGTTTGTTCAGCCGATCGCTTTGAAGGAGGGACAAAGGCAATAACGCCATCCGGGCGTTGACTTGGGACTCAAAACTGGGGGCAATAGCTTCAATAGCGGTATTTAGGGGCGATGAGGGGGTCGGCACGCACAGGGGTTTCACACTGAAAGGGATATAAACCGGGGCTTCCACACCTAAAATTAGAGTATCACTACAAAAATCAATTTTTCCCTGTACCTCGTACATCCAATCGACACCCAGGATTACCGGACGAATCAAATGTTTTACTACCATAAAGACATGAGAAAACAGAAAAGGGTTAGGGGGGATTTGGAATTCCAAACATACCTGATAACGGATTCGGGTGCTAAGATGTCCGGCAGCTCCTCTTAACTGAGTGGCGAAGACGGGAAGCACTAAAGGTTTCCCCTTTTTTTTTAAATTTTCGAACACCTCCTCATTTATGCAAGACAATTCACACCCCGAATCGACCAGAGCCAATATCGAGAGCCCGAAGCATGAAAGGGAAATATGGGGAAGTTGTTTTACAGTCTGAGGCTCTGTCAGATTCTCTAGAGCGCTTAAGGGTACCAACGTGTACGCCCCATCCCCGATTTTAATAACCTCCAACGAAGTTGGCAAACCCCGACCATCTTTCCCACAAAGTGATCCAGGTTTCCAGCCCAAACGAGTCATGAGTCGAAAACCCTTAGGCGACATTTCACTGAGGTCCGTTTCAGGGGCAGGAGAGATGCAGTATTGGTGCTTCGGCGAGTTGAAAAACGAAAATGTGGATGCTGAGGTGGTTCCCGGGGAAAATCTCCACTTTATTTTCCCCGGGGAAAGTTTCCCGCGCGTGGAGGAGGTGATTTGGGGTCGAAAGATGCAGGGAGTGTGGCGGTGGAAGAAGATGGCTTACTCAAGGCGACGTATCGCTCGAGAAAATTTAGGGTTCCCTGGAAACTGCGGTCAGCTGACGCGATCCACAATGATTGAACGCCGTAGGGAAATTGTTGTAAAATCTCATATACAATTTCAACTTCACTTAGGTTTGGACTTAGGCCCTTAAGACTACCATACTGCTTCATGAAGAATTCAGTCATGCTAGCCCTTCCATCCCGATGGTACTTCATGCCCAAAACATGTCGCCGTAAGTAAGTTTGTTTTTCGGGGGACCAAAAAAAAGATAAAAATTCGGTGCTAAATTGGTTAAAATCGATACCACTCGATAGAGTGTTTGCCCAAACGGCGGCTGAATGGTGAAGGCAATTTTTCACAAACAAGACAAGGTTGGCCTGAGGGATTTGGCAGACCTCACTATATTCTTTAACATTTGAAAGAAATTTTACCGGGTTTTCCTGAGGAAAAGCTGAGAAAGTGGGCTTCCGACAGAGATTGTCGACATCGCCAAATTGGCGAGTCGATAGGGACATTATTACTTGGCGAACCTCTTGATCCGAAAAAGTTACATTACCCGTTACAGGGGCCACACCAGCCAACGGCGCAAAACCCATCCGGGGCCGACTACAAACCCCCAAAGGGGTGGAAGCAAAAATATTATGAGCCAACTCACCAGCCACAGGTAACCGACGCTCCTCACGCGAATGCCCCATCCTCGTGCTTGTGCTCTGTCCCTCAACGTGACTGCATAACCTTTGGATCAGATTCGTTTGCATGCGGACGGCCTCCTTTAGTTGCGCCAGTTCCTGATCCATAATTTGCAAACGAGTTCTGTCGTCGACATTTGACTCCGCCAATAAACCTCTTCCGACGACAGGGGCAGCAGGACTCGCAGGATTGACATGTCCCAGCGAAGGATCTCCACCAAAATCAAGGCGACCAGTAGGTCGGTCATGGTTAGCCGAACTAGGGTCCACAGGAAGGCGCCCGGCAGTAGAATGGACTGCAGGAATGAGCCCAGTAGGGTTGAGTCTAGCAGGACTGTGTTCAGCCGACTGAAATTCAGCAGGATGATCCTCCAGAGCAAGTTCATCAGGGTGACGTGTAAAGTTGAGTCCTGCGGGGTTAAGTCCAGGGTTGGATTCAGCAGGGCTGAGTGCATCGGGTTGACTCATAGGAGCGAGTATAGCTGAGTTCTCCGGGTTTCTCGTTACATGGGCAACGTCTTGTCCCAGCTGCATAGCTTCAGATACGTCACTGGATCTAGGGTCGTCAACTTCAAGTGCAGTCTTTGGTAGGTTCTCTCCCATTGTCGAAATCTACAAGGTTTATTTCACGAAGTATCACATAAATATATAAGAATATTATCACATCAAATCTCCTCCCAGGCACTCCAATCCTATCCTCCTATGCATCGGCCACATTCTGTGCCGCAACCAAGAAAAAAAACGAACAAGCTCAGCATAGCTCCGGAAACGACACCGTGCACTGTGCCGAAACCAAAGAAAACCAAGCAAATCCGATTAATCCTGGTCACGGCACCATTCTGTGATGGGCACGGGGTGGGGGTACCCCATACTCATGCAAACGGCAGTAACCCAAGGCGATTTGAAGAATCGCGCGAACTAAATTTAAATATTGACAGCGCAAGCAGTGTTGTCAAGTTTGGCCAAAAGTGATCGTCTAGAAAATTGACAGAGAATACCCTACGTTGTGTTATTTTAGTTCGCTTCTAGATAGGTGGAGTAGCCAATGAGAGGAGACCAGAGTAGGTAATAAAACACAAAAAGTATGGTTGTATGTTTTCTCTATTCATTGTTTGTTTACAATGGAGTTTTTACAAAGGTTTGGCTGACGGTAGTTAGCGTTTTATGTATTGCAGTGTTTATTGAATATTGGTTTTTAGTTAGCGTTTGTTATTTGGACTTTGTCATACCAAGCGTTAATAAAGCAGATTTATAAAATGTTACAAGTGCAATTTACCCCTCCCAACAATACAACAGGTTATAAAAATGAATATTATTGGATGCAAACCGTTTTGTCTAGTGTATTGAAACCTTTTATAGCTATCTAAACATATTCCGCTACAGTGTACATAATAAATGCATAGTTTCCATATTACATATTACAGTATGACCCCTTTGTCGGTTAGGAACTCTATTGGCGAGCTCTAGTCTTGTGAAGAGATTAGATTAGATTAGATTACCTTATTTAATAATAATAATACCTCCTATAACCCTCTTCCCTATCGCAAGCAGGCACAATACACCAGACAAGCATTTTTCACGCCCGTCCGCCATCTTACCGAGCAAAGAGCCGCGTAACTTACTCTCGGCCAAATATCCCCAAAACACAACAAATCTACATTATTAAACTTGGTTAAAATATACAACCACCTTAGTTAGTTAATTTAAACAAGGTAAAGGATCATTTTAGCTTACCTACAAGGTTTATTTCTCACCACAAAAACCCACGACTCACTCGGACGACCTTTTAACTTCACCTGTTGCTTTTTTTCTGCCGCCCCGCCAGTTCTCGACCTCGCCCAACCTAACGGGACAGGGCCGGCTTTAGCGCGCTCGGTTAAACAGGACCCCATTTGAAATATTCATAAAATACCAAACCGTACAACCCAATTAATTAAACGTTATATAATTCAAGTATTTTTAAGAAAGGGCAACGCTGCATTATTTTAAAAACTTAACATTAATTTCGAATAGGTAGGATGCTTTACGCGTAGATGTATTCTTGGTTGCGTTTTTCTCGTTTTACGGAGGGCGGGTCAACACAATACTGAGGAAGGAATTTTTTTTTATGATCCTTTCCAAAGAATTTTTGTTTTGTTTATTTATATATTTGTTTATTTTATTTTTGATTTAATATAATATAATTTGTTTATATCAATTATTTTTAAAATAAACTTTTTTTTTTAATAATTTTTATTAAGAACTGTACTAAAATTTCTTGTATTTTTAGGTGCAAAAAATATATCTCCAGCTATGGTATTTCACTTTTTTACTATATTTGCTATGAGAATACCACATCTACTTTTTGCACTCCAACAAAAGAAAATACAATACACAAAAAGTATCGGATGTCACACGGCTTTTATAAATGGGGCATTCCACGTTACTCGGTAATTTTTGTCCCGCCCGTCACAATTAAAAATTGTGAGTAAAAACCCCACGTTATTAAATTTATTTTAAAATATTGTTTATTATGCATATATTTAGCTTATAGGCACAATAAAAATAATATTATAAAATAATAATTTAATAACTTGTGGTTTTTACTCACAATTTTTAATTATGACGGGCGGGACATAAATTACCGAGTAACGTGGAATGCCTCAAATATAAAAGAAACATTTTATCAACATTTACAACAACATTGTTAAAATAAATATGCAATAAACTGTAAATATTTCAAAAATATTTTCAGATATTTTTGTGATGTTGAGAAAACATTAATAAAATATAAGGTAATGTATATAAAACATTTACAAAAATGTTTTAAAAATGTTGTGGAAAAATATTGTATAAATATAAAAAGTGGGACATCTAAATGTTGTAAAAACATTTTAGAGACATTTAAATGAAAATGACTAATATTTCTAAAATATTTAGTTCATTTAGCAAAAATATTCATTTAATATTTTATATATATTTTTGTGTTATGTGGGAACTTATAATCATGCACTGAGAAAAAAGTTTATTGCTCCCAAATAAAAAAATATTTAAATATGGGACAAGGGTACAGTTTATTTATATAAAATAAAATAAAATAAAAATATATTTAGGATATCCTAAATATATTTTTATTCCCGACACATAAAGTTTTACTAAAGTATATTTATCTTTATTATTTCGACTATTTAGAGGTAATAAACAATATATTCACTATTAATAAAAGTATTAGCTACACAGTTTATTTGTCCCATTTTTTTCTCAGTGTGAAAATTTAAAAAATCGATTTGATATGATCATATCTCCAAAAACAATTGACAAACCGTGCTAAAATTAAAATTGAATTTTTGTTTTTGGTCAGGGAACCCATGGAAAAATTGCCAAGGAATTTCGAAATGGCAAGGGTTTTTTTCGTGTCGAATTCACGTGGAATTCCCCATATATATATTTACAATTTAACAATTTGAAATGAACGTATTGAACATCAGAATTTTTAATTATGTCCTAGGTAATGCATTAACTAAGAGACCAGGCAATAAAGAAAAGCCAAAAAGTAAACGAGCACGTAAAACACATCACAGAAGATAAGAAGAGCGACCCAAAGATAATCTTTGGAGCGACCCTCTCTATTAAACAGCCAAGGCCTGCCAATAGGGCCGTATTCCAAATTATTACGTACACTTCAGGGCTGGCTTTATCTATTTTGTATATTAATATTTATAATATTATTTTTAAATTAAATTTGAAAAAAAGTAAGAATGCAAAGATATAAATTAAATGGTAAACGTTATAATACGCTAATTTAACAATAAAATAAATAAAGAATATACAAGGTCGGTAGTCGGTCCTCGGCATGAGGGGTTGAATATCCAAGAAGGCAGAGGCACTTACAGCGGGCCAACACTTCGGTACTGAAGACAAGATCCAGTTCCTCACAGGGGGCAAACATTTTAAAGAGGTTACCAGGAACCGGAAACCGTCTCGGACAGAGACGTTCAGAAGTACACCAAGGACAGGTTCTAGCAGCGTACTAACACTTCTACCCCCATTCATGAATCCCAATTGAATGGGGTTATTACTAAAGCCCTAGTTGGGGAGGATTCCGGATTGTACTTAGTTTTGGGTCAATTCAATGACCTCCAAAAACCAACATTTACCCTCCTTGTCCCACTCTCCACTAGCCTAACCCTGCTTAAAATACCCCATAGAGACCTATACAAAATAATCTATCGGGCGCTACAGGATTCAATATGTGCATTTGTCCATGGTTTTTTCCCGATACGGCCTGATAGAAAATTTATAGGAAATTACCTATAGGCACACCATAACTTTTACATTTTCCCTATAGAGACCGATAGCAAATAATTCAATGAAGGATATATAGGGATATCCGTATAGAACAACCATAAAACATTTGACAAAATTTTATTAAAACCTATGGGGTCCTATGGGGAAATACTAATTTCTATATTTATGTGTATTTTCCCCATTGAAACCAATAGCAAATAAATCAAGGGTGGATATCCCTATAGAACAACCATAAATCCCAACTATGGGTCCTATACATACCGATACACCCTATAGAAACACCATACATTCCGATACAAAATTTAATATCTATCAGTTTTAACAGGGTCTCTATGGTGTATTTTAAGCAGGGAAACTGGGGTATGGCCCGACCCGGCGACAAAAATCCGGGAGTGGCCTTAACCATCGACATTTTCATCCACGACCTCCTAGGGTAGATCTACCAGCCGGCGTAAAAACTTCGGATTTAACAAACACAGGTAATGCTGTGCTGTGCGGGATAGGTAGGAGAACGGAAAGGGGGTAAAATAACCCTGGGAGATTAGTGTAAGGCGATGTCGATGGGGCCTGCCATACGTCCCCATACTCATACTCATGTCCTAGTTGATGGGGGTTTACTTTGTTTAATTATCTACTAATTGTCAGTTTATGCAGATTATTTCCAACAATTTGTAGAAAGTTTTGACCATAGAAATAATTATTTCTATGGTTTTGATACTTCAAAATTACGTAAAAACTTTGATTAGGCAACCAATTTCACAAGCGTTGTTCAAAGTATCCTTAAAAATTTATAATTTCAAGTTTAAATTCAAAGACAACTTACTATTTGATATTATGTTGTATAAATTATTTATCTTTACGCATAGGTACCTTAAAATATCACGTGTTCATAAAATAAAAACGTTTAAAAATTAATTTAAATTAAAGCAATTCATTCAATGAATAAGAAAGTATAATTGCATTGGTGAACCTGCTAAATAAACCCATTAAATTTAATACTTTTAAATAGATATAAATTGTGCGCATATAATATAAAAATAAACAATTAGATCATCACCTGAATACTTAAGTCGGACATACATTCCATCTTTTATCTCTTTTTACTTCATTACTTTGTTTTACAATATTTTACCCGTATGTCTTTGCTAACTTCAATATTGAAAATGGTGGACAAAACGTCAAAAACTGCCTTTTAATGAGGCAGTGGTGTGTTTACTTCTTTGCAAGTCGATTTGAACCGACTTTTTGAAAGTTTTGGCCCCTCGGGGGTTACAGGTGACAACTACTAGAACAAAATGTCTGTTAGAGCATTAGGCACACGTTTGTTCAAACATGGTGCAGCTTATGTTCGGCATATATGCAGAAGAGACCTTAACACAGCAAAAATTGCCGACAAAATTAATGCTGTCAGCCAAGCACCTTCAGCATCTGCACAGGTGTCAAATGCCCTCGTTGTACCAAGAAAATTCGCCCTAAGAAATGTGGGAGTTCAAATTGGTTTGCAAGCCCGTAGAATCCTCATTGATAACGTGTTGAATAGAGTGACCAACAGTTTGGCCCAAGAACTCAAAAAGAAAGCTGCTAGAAGGTTTTACCATTGGGTTGTCAGTATTTTTTTAATAACTGGTTTTGTCGTTTTAGAATCTTATATGGCGATTCTGGCCCCTTCTTTGCTTTGGTTGGTGTAAGTTTGGCTTCTGGTACAGGCATTTTGACCAGGGAAGATGAACTTGAGGGTGTTTGTTGGGAAATAAGGGTAAGTCATGTTTTGTGGAAAAACACTGTTTTAATAAAATTGACCTAAAATGCATTTTTACACATAATCATGTAAGGCATAATACTAAAAATCACTGCAACAATACCATAGATGACTTTAAAGGCGGCCATTTTTGTTGTTTTGTGTTTTGCTATTTAATAAATAGTATTTATACATATTAATAATCATTTTAAACATTGTCTTTCTTACAGAGGCACTTGTAAGCCTTTAACGAAGCCTTAAAGTGCTAAAAAGATCATTTTCCTCCTTTTTTGTATTCTATCAGGGCTGTCATCAAACTGTCAATTTTAAGGTTAATGTACCATAACCCACAAATTAACCTTAAAATTGACATTTAAAAGTTCATAATGTCTAGAGTCCCGTCAGACGGTTCTCTATTGCGCTCCCGTTAACATTTTATGACGTCACACACTGTAAATCGGTATTATTTTTCGAGCGATAGGATTATTACAACAAGCTCGGTAGCTCGATGGAAGGGCGCCTGCTTTGCATGCGAGAGGTACGGGGTTCGATACTTGGCGCCTCAACAAATTTTTTTAACTTTTTTTTTAAGAATTTTATGCCGAAAGAATACAATTTGGCCTTAAAAGTATTTATATTTAATTTTACTTTAATATTTTAATTTATTTACCTTTCCTCATAATCATTTTGCTACAGTTATATAATATATATATTATATATATATACAGGGTGTTTCATACCAGGAGGCGAAAAATGAAATTCTATATTTAAAACGTCATTCTAAATACTGGCTTAAATATTCTAAACAATTAGAGTAAAAGTTAATAGTCTGAATTTATTGAAAGCGGGACAAAAGCGGGACGCTTATTAAATCGGGACCCTTAGCTCAGAATCGGGACTGTCCCGCCTAAATCGGGACGGATGGTCACTTTACACAAACCCAAAGCACAAGAATTGTAAACAACAAAAATGGCCGCCATGGTGTAAGGGTAATTTTTAAGACCATTTTTCTCGAAAACGGTAAGTAAACTAAACCTTGTCTTATAGGAAGCAGTTTCCAAAATAAAATGGCAGTATCATGACGTAGAAGTTGACGAAAACCGATTCGAGGAAACCCCGATTACATTAAATGATTTAACTTTTGGCAAAGCAATTGCCAAAGGATCCAATGCAGTTGTCTATGCAGCCAATATAAAACCCTCTGAAACAGAACCAAAAACTGTTGTTGAAGAACAGGAAAACAAAGTGGAAAATTTAGTCCCAGCAAAACTTAAAACTGAGGACTGTGATGACATTAATAAATATCCATTGGCTTTAAAAATGATGTTTAATTATGACATACAATCGAGTTCAATGGCTATTTTGAAGGCTATGTATAGAGAAACTGTTCCTGCCAGGGTTTATCACAGCAATGTTGGAGTTTCTGATTGGGAAATGGAGTGAGTACCTTATTTTAATTAATATTTTCGGTTTTCAACGAATTAAAAATCTTTAAACATTATTTCTATACCTGATTAAGCTTTTAAGCTAATAAGTGAATTACCAGATACAAACATCTCTTGGATTAAAAACGGTTTTTATGAAAACCCAATATGGGTTAAGTATCTATCAAACACAAAATATATAAATAAAAGAAGAAGAAAAGAAAGTGCCCATTTTATTGTGAACTTTTTAGCTTGTCTTCAAGAAAAATTCAACTTCCTCCCCACCCCAATGTAGTGGCAATATTTTCCGTTTTTACCGATTTTGTGCCGGAATTGGAGGATTGTAGAGGCTTGTATCCAGCAGCATTGCCTCCAAGAATTTATTCTGAAGGATCAGGAAGAAACATGTCGCTATTTTTGCTCATGAAAAGGTGAGTCATGATATTTTACGTTTTTTTGCAGATCAAGATTAAAATTCTTTTTGTTACATTTGGTAATATTTTGATATCTATTTTCGGAATTTTCTTATCTAATCGTCTAATTATATGATTTTTAATCAATTCTTTATGTCTGATAATTTTATCTCTACTTTATCAAGATTTGTGATAAAGTAGAGATAAAATTAATTAATTAATCATATGGGCAATTCTTTAGTTTGTAATAATTTCACGCACATTTTTCGAACTTTTTTGTGTTTTTGTTTGGATATTTGAATTTCAGTACATTTAAAGGCACCAAAAAACCCTTTAAAATGAGCTTTTAACTCAACAAAAATTTTCAATAGAAGCCCAGAAATTACAGTTTTATAACCGTTGTTTTTTTACACGTTTTTGGAAACTGTATTAAAATTGTTAAACATTCCATGAAGTTTCAGCTCTTGTAAGCAATAATTTTTGTTGTATTTTACATTTTGTTTTTAAGGGTTTAAGTTATAATGTAGTAGGATATTATACAGATAACCAAAACTTAGTAAATTGTTAATTATAAATATTGAAACAAATTCTTGTCAAAAATGGTTTTGTTTATTTTTTTCATAAAAAACAAAAAAACAAACGCTTTTTTAATTATTATGAAAGTTTTGATTATAACTTAACTTTTTTAAGCGTATTTATTTTAAATTTGGAAAAAAACATATTTTTATATTAATACCAAATCGTTTTTTTACAATACCAAACCGTTTTTTTTTACATTAATACCAAGTTCGTACCAAATTTACAACAAAATTAATACCGCTCTCTCGATTAGAGCCAACCGCCATAGCGGTATTAACTTTATTGTAAATTTGGTATTAATGTAAACAAAAACGTTTTATTTCCAAATTTAAAATAAAAACGTTCAAAAAAACATGTTTTTTTTTTAAAACATTGTTTTTTTTTCAAATTATAAACAAAACTTTCATAATAATTGAATGGGTGGGTTCAAAAATATTTTGACAAATTATTTTATAAAATTATTTGTATGCATTTTTGTTTCAACTATTGTACAAAATATGGTTATTAAATTTTATGAAATAGTTAAAACATTCTTTAAAAAATGCATTTTATAAAATAACTTGTAAACAATTTAAATTTTGGATTTAATCACATCGATTCAATTAAAAAAGCGTTTCTAGGTTTCTAGAGCCAAAATTAAAAAAAACTACATCTTGCCCAGCGCGTGAAGAATTCCTTTTTCTCTTTGTGTTAGATACCATAACAGCCTTCAGGAATACGTCCAAAACAACGACTTATCCATGAGAAAATCCATTTTGCTCCTAACCCAACTTTTCGAGGGCGTAGCCCACCTAAACGCCCACGGCATAGCCCACCGCGACCTTAAATCCGACAACCTCCTTCTGGACACGACCGAACCCGAAGTCCCTATTTTGGTGATCGGGGACTTCGGATGTTGCCTTTCGGATCGCGCTAACGGCCTCATGCTGCCCTACGGCAGCTACGACGTCGACAGAGGCGGCAACAGCGCGCTCATGGCACCCGAGATCATACTGCAGAAGCCGGGCACGTTCAGCGTGTTGAATTACACCAAGTCGGATCTTTGGGCGGTGGGTGCCATCGCCTATGAGATTTTCGGTTGCGTAAACCCGTTCTACGGCAGTAAAGATCGGGAGAAGTTGAGGAACGTGAATTATAAAGAGGAGGATCTGCCCAAATTGCCTGACGAGATTCCTTTGATCATCAGGTGTTTGGTGGGCAATTGTCTTATGCGGAATCCAAAAGAGGTAAGTGTATACGCTAAAGAAGCAGGGCCATTCCGTCATTTCGGGTGTTACATTTGTTCAACCAAAGTCTAAATTTGTATGTATTTTGAAATAACATTTTAGCAATTAAAGTGCCTTATTCTCTACGTTTTTAGTTGTTTTATCTAAATTGTAAAATAAGTACAGTTTAGCATATAGGGTAACGATTTTATAAGTCGAAAAGTGTGCGTTTCGGATGTTTCACGATTCTGCCTCCATTTTTATAGTTATTTGAAATTTAGCGAATTTTCTTAGGAAAACATTCCTAAACCATCTACCACATAATCCCTGTCACAAATAACGTTTTACTAATTTTTTTTTATAAAATTTAACTTTGTTTAGGGTGTTACCATGGTTCTGTTTTGGTTGTTACAAGTACAAAAATTAAAGACTTTATGGACAAAATCGGTCTTGGGTACTACAAAATAAGTTAGTAACAAATAAACATAAATAGAATGAATTCTTCTTAAACATAACTTAAGCAGCTTCGGGTGCGATTGATAAATCGGCAAAAAGGGTAAAATCGTTATTATTGGCAAAAATCTGTAGAAACATAATTATTGACGAAAATCTAAGTATTCGGTATTTTGGTAGGTCCGTTCCCATTTAGGTAGAAATACCGAAATTTCGGTAGGTTCGACACCATCGGAAAGGCAGTCACACCCAAAGATAATACACCCCATGGGGTGTATTATCTCTGGTCACACCTCTTTAAAATAGTATGACTGCTTTTCCGATGGCGGCGCTAGTGGGCCGTCGAAAGAGCTTTAAAAATAATACTTATTGCATTCTTCAAGCAATATTTACACATATATCGACATATGAAAAAAGTTTGTGATTATTTAGCTAGTCATCATTTATCAGTGATTTTTTAAGACTTAACGACATCATTAAGTTTATCTTCATTTTAGCTTGTCATTATTTTAACTTGTTATCATTTAGGCTTGTTGTCATTTTAGCTTGTCATAATTTTAGCTTGTCAATTAGACTGGGCCAAAAAAATCAAATTTTGAAAAGTATATCGAAAATATGGTTTGAGGTGACAAAAAAAAATATTGTAAAAGTTTGAGTCCATTATACAGGGTGTCCAGGAAAAGGAGGTCAATCCGTTAACCATATATTCCTTGAGTTAAAACAATAAGACTTCCATAATACCATTTTTCAATTTAGAGCTTCATGTCCGATATACAGGGCGACAAAGTTTGAAATTTAAAACTTATTTTTTTTAATAATTCGAGTAATTGATAAGATATTAAGTTTAAATTCGGTACACTACTTCAACATAAATAGTTAAATTTTTTGAGACCAACAAAACAAAAAACAATTGTTAAATAATCAAAATAGGGGGGTCCAGTACTCACTGATTCCCCCTATTTTTTAGTAAATGCGCTAATGACTTCCAAACGGTATTTTTTCAGGTAATCATTTATTGTTAAAAAAAATTTGTCTCTTATAAAATTTTGATAAAATGATTTGTTTTAGAGATAATTTGTAAAGTATGGGTCAGTCCATATCAAATCAACCAAAGGTTCTTCCCCCACCATCTCCGATTTTGATCATTTTTGGTAAATTTGTTTACCTCACTAAAAAACTCAAAAATCCCAAATATGAATTTTTTTCGATAGGTGGTTTTTGTTTTATTGATTTTTGAAAATCAAAAAATTCCGATAAATTTGGGTCTTGCAAGTACTTACAAAAATAGCGATATCTCGTAAACTATTAAAAGTAGAAAGGTGAGTGATGGCTTATTTTAAAGGCCTATTAGAGAACTTTTTTATGATATATTACATGACCTACATTTTTTAAAAAAAAATTAAATTTTGAAAATTTGATATGGACTGACCCATACTTTACAAATTATCTCTAAAACAAATCATTTTATCAAAATTTTATAAGAGACCAAACATTTTCAACAATAAATGATTACCTGAAAAAATTCTGTTTGGAAGTCATTGGCGCACGTACTAAAAAATAGGGGGAGTCAGTGAGTACTGGACCCCCCTATTTTGATTATTTGAAAATTGTTTTTTGTTTTGTTGGTCTCAAAAAATGTAACTATTTATGTTGAAGTAGTGTACCGAATTTAAACTTAGTATCTTATCAATTACTCGAATTATTAAAAAAAAATTAGTTTTTAATTTAAAACTTTGTCGCCCTGTATATCGAACATGAAGCTCTAAATTGAAAAATGGTATTATGAAAGTCTTATTGTTTTAACTCAAGGAATATATGGTTAACGGATTGACCTCCTTTTCCCGGACACCCTGTATTATTATTAAGAGGTCTATCATCGCAATTTTAATTTTTTTTCCTCAGCAAGTTTTAGGCTCAGAACTCTCAAACCATTGAGTTTAACAAAATTGACTTAAAAATATTTTTTTAATAAAATTAAATGCTCTACAAAAAAGGTTAAAGTGAAATTTTCCGTCAGATGAACCGTTTCCTTAAAATCATGCCTTAAAAATTGTTGATCTTTTAAATTGGAATTTTGTAACTCATGTAAAAATCAGTACCCATAAAAAACCGATAAATATTCTTATGGGAAATCAATTGCTTTACACAAAAGCCTCTTAACATTTTTGGCTAAATTCACTCAATCAAAAGTTATTCAAGGTTAAAATTTCGTTTTGACTTTAAATTTAACCTTGAATAACTTTTGATGGGGTGAATTTAGCCAAAAATGATAAAAGACTTTTTTTGTAGAGCATTTGATTTCCCATAAGAATATTTATCGTTTTTTTTCAGGGTACTGATTTTTACTTGAATTACAAAATTTCAAAGTTAAAAGATCAAATTGTAAAACTATACCAATTTTTAAGGCATGATTGTAAGAAAAGGGTTCATCTGACGGAAAATTCCAATCAAACCTTTTTTGTAGAGCATTCAATTTTCTTAAAAAAAAATTTTAAGTCAATTTTGTTAAACTCAATGATTTGGGAGTTCTGAGACCAAAACTCGCTCAGGAAAAAAAAATCTAAAATTGCGATGATAGATCTCTTAATATTAATATTATGGACTCAAACTTTCACCATATTTTTTTTTATCACCCCAAACAATATTTTCGATATACTTTCAAAAAAAAAAATAGTCGATTTTTTGGCCCAGTCTATTGTCGTAAGTAATATCATAAGGGCATTTAATTTTTCCGAAAAGAATCGAAAAAACACGTTGCTAAGTAATATTTTAACAAAAAGCATGAGTGCTGGTGGCAACAAAAATCCGAGTCGAAGAGGAGGATTTTTGCACCTGCACGAATGCATTTTGTTAAAAAATATTACTTAGCATTGTGTTTTTTTGATTTTTTTCACAGGAAAAATTATATGCCCGAATGGTATTTGACAAGACTATTTCATGAGTAACAGTTAACAATTAAAATATAAATTGCAATTTTTGTTGACAACAGCTGTCAAGTTTTGCCGCGGGTAAACTCGAATAAACTGCTGACAGGTGCTGTCACACAGTTTTTTCACCTAGAAACCATTTGTAATTCAAAATTGCGCGTTTGTGATTGGTGGAAATTAAGACGAGGGAAATAGTCAATATTAAATAACGACCAACTAATATAATGACAATTCTTGAATTCACACAATGCTATCCAACACCACCAGATGGCGCGCGCGTTGCGAAAACTCGATGCTTCTTTAGCGTATAGTGTTATTTATAAAACTTCTTATGTAATAAAAGGTATAAAAATTGCTAAAAAGAACAACTGTTTTTTATACTTGAAAAACGTTTCCCTATCTGAAACTATTTTTAAGTTGTGACAATTTTTTGTTCATTTCTAGCGAGTGAATTCTGAGATAGCTGCCAATATATGTCAGCTATTCTTATGGGCTCCAAGTTCCTGGTTAAAGCCTGGTTTAGCTAAGCTACCATCAAGTGCGGAAGTAGGTTAAATTTGGAAAACTTGGAGCAACATTTTATTAATTTTATTTTCAGATACTTCAATGGTTGTTAAGTCTTACAACTAAAATGCTTTGTGAAGGAAGAATGAACAATCAATGCTTGAAGAAATCTGGTAGGAGAAGCTACCCAGAGTATCTATTAATTTCCTCTTTTCTCTGTAGAGCAAAACTGTCAAATATTAGGTCTGCCCTTACTTGGATACATAATTGCTTTTAGAGCTTGGAGTGTACATTATATTTTATTTATGCAGTCCTATTTGAGGTTATTTTATTCTTAACTAACGTTACTTAAACTGGATATTTTGAGTCAAAAATAATAAAAATTACAACATGCTAAGACTGGAATTGTGATTTTAAATTTAAACAAAATTGTAAATATGTTGTGAAATTATACGTTTGGAAGTGTTGTATATCCTTGTTTTATTTTTAGTCCTTTTGTAATTTTTGGTTATAGGTATCATAATACACATTAACTTCATTTTTTTCTACCTATCTGGACTGCGGCAACTTTGCAAATTTAGAAGTTTGGTTGGTAAATACGGAACCAAAATTGGTTGCATTGATTAAAACAAACTAAACTATAACTATAGTTGTCTCGGCGAATGTTTCAAATTGCGTCATCAAATTCTGAACCAAGCACAGGCATTACAATTAATGTTGTTTTCTTTTACGCATATAATTCAAGAAACCGCTAGGTTAACCGTATGTCGAGAACTATATATAGTTGTAAAAGTAATTATAATGTAATTGTGGTTATGTTTAAATTATTGTAGCTTATATTGAACGGTTTGTCAAGTTGAGTCAAAATTCGTAGTTAAAAATGCAATTAATTTGGCTTTTGTAGAGCGTAGATGAGTAAAATCAAATAAAAAAGTAGTTAAATATAGGTGACTACGGCCCAGGAGAGATAATAATCTTCGCTTTGAAAAGAATTGATATAAAAGAAATTAAAATTTTATGTGAACACACGTGAATGTTGTCTAATCATTGGACTCCAATGGTGAATGGGTATGTTGTTAAAGGCACTGGACGTTAATACTTGTAGTGGCTTAATAATTATAATGTATTATATTGTCCAGTGCTACTTTCAAAGAAAGGAAAATTTACTAGATTTTTCACAAAAAGGTTGAACCTAACAGCAAATCATTTTTATTTTTGATCAGCCCTGATAGAAATAAGGTTTATTTTTTACAAAAGAGCTTAAAATGGTTGTTCTTAGCACTTTATGCCTATTTTAAGGATAACAAGTGCCTCTGTAAGAAACACAACGTTTAAAACAATTATTAAACAGTACAAACCCAAAGCACAAGAATTATAAACAAAAATGGCCGTCGTTAAACTCTGTATGAGATAGAACAGACCTTGTTGTGTGGATTGTGGATATTATATAATATTTAACAAGTAAATTATCGTAAGTAATATCATAAGGGCATTTAATTTTTCCGAAAAGAATCGAAAAAACACGTTGCTAAGTAATATTTTAACAAAAAGCATGAGTGCTGGTGGCAACAAAAATCCGAGTCGAAGAGGAGGATTTTTGCACCTGCACGAATGCATTTTGTTAAAAAATATTACTTAGCATTGTGTTTTTTCGATTTTTTTCACAGGAAAAATTAGATACCCGAATGGTATTTGACAAGACTATTTCATGAGTAACAGTTAACAATTAAAATATAAATTGATTTTTGGTGACAACAGCTGTCAAGTTTTGCCGCGGGTAAACTCGAATAAACTGCTGATAGGTTCTGTCACACAGTTTTTTCACCTAGAAACCATTTGTAATTCAAAATTGCGCGTTTGTGATTGGTGGATATTAAGACGAGGGAAATAGTCAATAATAAATATTACTGTCAATTTGACAGTGTCAGAGTATTTAATTAAGGTCTTCAGCAGAAGTACCATTTTTTAAATACTAAATCAAACTGGCATAAGCTACCAACTTAATAAAAAAAACACGAGTCCAAATAAAAAAAGATTAACTGTAAGTTTTTTAATCTTAAACTGTCAAATTGACATATCGTTTTACAATTTTATATCATATAAATATGTGTACCGAAAATCCAAACTATCACATCTGTAATCCAAAGCAAATAATTCGTGCTGCTTTATCACATGATTTTATATCATTATTTTGCGAGAAAAATTCGGATGGAACCAGACACTTGCGGTTAAAAGGGAAGGATTTGTTTCAACGAATGGGGTAAGTATGCAAAAATTTTAAAAGGTACATTGTACAATCAACCCTTATAGACGGCGATTAAAGGACCATGATATGCCTGAAATAGTAAAATACTTAAAATTAACCCCGACAGTAACCAGCATAGATTTTTGCTACAACGAAATCGGCGACTCTGGGTTGGAAATTTTGGCCAAAACTTTTTTTAACGGGGAGAACGATTTGAGTTACATAAATTTTATGCACTGTGACGTAACAGGAAGGGGTTTAGGATATCTAAACGAAAGCGAGTTTTTCAATTTGAAAGAAATTAGACTGAATGGCAACCCACTGGGTCCACAAGTAACGTTTTACTGTTTAATGATATGTTTTTATTCACCCACTATTGCCCGTGACCTCGCTTCGGTGCAGTGTTGCCAGATTGGGCGTTTTATCGCAAATTAAGCGATTAAGCCGCAATTTGGGCGATATTAGTTTTAAACTGGATGATTGAAAACTCCACATTAAAATATATGTTTTGGGTTATTGAAAACTGCCCTTACATTTAATTTTTTTTAAACGGGTAAATGAAAACTTCACATTAAAATTAATGTTGCTGTCAAAATGGCGCTATAATTACAATGGAAACGCATACATTGATAAAAATATTAATAAATCACACGAATTTAATTAAATTGTCTAAATGAAGTTTCACTTCAGCCTTGTGGTCTAAGCGCAAATGTATTTTTTTTGTTCTAGAGCGCAGGTCTAATTTTTAACTTGCTGCAAAAATGCAGTGACCTAACTTACCTTGATCTAGCAGAATCCCAACAAACCTTTGAGAGCATAGCGGCCATTTGTAGTTTTGTTGAACGTAGTCGTGTTAAAATTTTGGATGTCTCTCGTGTACTTCCCAAAGACCCTATGTACATTAATAATTCACCTGCGTTGGCCAATGATATTGGTTATCTTTTGGATGTAGGTAAAAATCCCTTTGGTATAAAGGTATAAATTGTTTTTTTATATAAGAGAAACACTTCATTGTTGGAAATTCATCTACAAAAATGTGACTTTATTGGACATGATATGGAATTATTAATGTATGGACTAGAGACCAATAAGCATTTGATAATGCTTGATGTTGGTTGTAACAATATTGGAAATTACGGTTTAGAGGTTTTGGCGAAATGGTTAAAAACGAAACCACCTCTAAGAGCTTTGAATGTTTCTAATAATCAAATTGGAGAAATAGGTGCGAGGTAAAATTAATATTGAGAAAAGTTGTTTACCTTTCTAATATTTATTTATTATAGAGCTCTTGCCTTAGTACTGCCGTTTACCATTATAAGACTTTTGGATATAACAAATAACCATATAAATGATATCGGTATGAACCACTTGCTTTTTTCATTAAAAAAACCCGATAGAATCCGTTTGTTATACATATGGGGGAATCCTTTTGGTGAAAAAACTAATTTGGTAATTTTTTAAAAATAGTACAATCACGTGATCACGTACGTGATACCATTGCAATATATATTTTTTCATAGATACTTGATAGATTGTTTAAGTCGGGGGTTTTACTTCAAGAACACACGGATGTAAAAGTTTACCATGTAGATGGAGTGGCTTATCAAGCTTACTACCCATCAAATCATTACAAGCACAAATATTATTGCGTCATGGACCACGGATGCCCAGTGGAATTAAAGATAAAGAGAAACAAGGTTGCGGATGAATTCTCCCAACCAAGAGCACTTATAGACTTAAAGAACTACGATAGATATCCACCTGTTAACTTGAATCTACCCAAAAGATACCCTTGCTATGATTTCTGCGACTCAACTTGTCTGGATTCGAAATAAATTTTTAAAAAACACTAATAACTTGTATTTTTATTTTAATTACCAAACTTTACATTTATGTAGAGGATTCATATTACTTCCCAAAGGACAACTAAAATCCTTTGCGAAGTAATCAGTGTTTGCGAATGGTACCTTGACTCGGAAAGGTCCAGGGGCGTGGTTATCGGTAACCACCACATACTCGAGAGATTCGGGCCGGAACTTTTCGCACCAAACGTGCGCCGCTGAAAGCCAGAACATTTGTTTTGCGGTGAAGTTTAGACCTGGCAACGTTGCCTCCTCCGGGTTGCGTTCGCTCCATCTGGAGTAAGCCAGGTAGGATTCCTTGATGCCGGACGAGTCTGCTATGTTTTCTCCTTGGGTGTTGATACCATTTAACTATGAAGTTTATTTTTTTTAGTGCCATAATTTGCTATTTAATGATTTTTTGTAAATATGCAGATAATATAAAATATACTTTACCGCATGTGTGATTATGTACAGTTGTATTCATAAAAAAGCGAACAAGAATTAGAATGAAAGAAAACTGTAACCATAATATTATCATCACTAAATTAAGTCATAATAATTATTATAGCACTGACGTCGAGGATTAAATAAATAAAACGCGAAATTGCGAGTTGTTAATATTTGGTTTCTATGGTAATGCTTTTCGCTTTTTGACAGTGACAGTGACAGTTCTATATGCAGTCTTATTTAAAATCTAAAAATAAGTTGTGAAAACTAATAAATATTATTAAAAAAAGATATGGAACAATAAACAAAGATAAGAAAACCATAAAATAAATAACTTATAATAAAAAACAATACAATTGTTTTTTTGAATGATTTAATTCAGCCATTCCACGCTACTCGGGAATTTTTGTAGCGTCCGTTACAATCAAAAATTGTGAGTAAAAGCTACCGTAATTAAATTAAATACTATTACAATAGTTACATGTTTATTATGCTTGTAATAATTAGGCTTAAGCTTATAAGCATCATAATTACGGTAGTTTTACTCACAATTTTTGATTGTAACGGACGCTACAAAAATTCCCGAGTAACGTGGAATGGCTGAATTACGAAAATATAACACCAAATAAATCAAACCAAATATGCCTAGATAATCACTTCTACAGACATAAGTGCGTAGAAGAAAAAAATCATTAATTTCTCAATGTCACGTTAGAATATATGCATTAATTAAAGACATGGGCTGTTTTCTCTCATTCTAATTTTTGTAGGTTCTTTTATAATATATTAAATATTTTTATATTATATACAACCGTAAGTGAAGTTCATTTTTTTTATCTGGACTGCGGCAACGTTGCAAATTTAGGAGTTTGGTTGGTAAATACGGAACCAAAATTGGTTGCATTGATTAAAACAAACTGAACTATAGTTATAAAAAATGATGTGTATGTGTTATGAAATTGAATGTGTATTTTTTTTTAGAAAATCATCAATTTCCTAAAAACGGTTAAACCTAAAAATCTAAAAATGATTATAATGTAAATCGAATATATTATTTTTATAAAATTGAAAAAAAACAAACAAAAATCTGTTATAAAAAATGATCTGTATGTGTTATGAAATTGAATGTGTATTTTTTTTTAGAAAATCATCAATTTCCTAAAAACGGTTAAACCTAAAAATATAAAAATGATTATAATGTAAATCGAATATATTATTTTTATAAAATTGAAAAAAACAAACAAAAATCTGTCTGACAACCCCTATAAATGTTTTCATTTTCATGATAAAATATTTATTTTAATATTAGGTACATTTTTGGGGATGATACCAACTTTTTATTGTTATTGAAACACCCTCAGGGTTCCCAGCATTGTTTTGTACTTTTTTTTTATGATTTTATGACAAATTTTTCAAATTTTATGACACTTTTTATGACAAGAATTTATTATTTCTAAAGTTATTTAATAAAATAAATGTAATTTTTTAACGGTTTATTATATAAAAATAATAGTATATTACACTACAAGGGCAGAAAGTGTGAGATTCCTGCACTGCGCGCCATGATGCCCGAGTCGATCATGGCGCGCAGTTCAGGGCTCTCACACTTTCTGCCCGTGTAGTGTATACTATTTTTCTTGCTACCCGGCCGAAAATACGGGAAAAAATTAAATGTGTATATCGAAACATATTGATGCCTGCCCCGACATTTGCGGCACGAGCGATATTATAGAGGGCGGTGGAGGTGGAATCGGGGACGAAACAACGTATTTTCAGCCGAGGTAGTAAGAAAATTACATTTTCTTACTAAAAATTAAAATCTGACGTTTAATTTAATTCTGACGTTTACATTCAAAATCAATCAAACTGTAGCGTTGTCATGGTAGCGGGAGGAAATGAAACTTTTCTTACTACCTTGGCCGAAAATACGTATAGCTTGACCAATGCATAAAACGTAAACTTTCTGTCGTGGAATCGGGGACGAAACAACGTATTTTCTGCCGGGTAGCAAGAAAAAATATTTATATATATATTATTTTAATTTTTTATTGCGTTTTATTCTACAGGACCGGCTTTAAATTTTATTTTACAAAATTTCCATTTTATAAAAAGATCAAAGCTGAGAAAATTGTTAAAAAATTATGAAATTTTATGATTTCTATGACAAAATGTGAATTTTATGACATTTTAGGACAATTTAACCAATTTTATGATATTTAAAAATTTTATGACAAACGGGAACCCTGCACCCTATACTTTTTGCATTTTTTGGATGCGAAAAATAAAAACGTATGTTGTAAATTGTAAGCATAAAATGCAACAAGTATAATATTATTTTTTTAAATTTAAATAATAGAAAAAATTAAAAAGACTCTGGTTTGTATAATTTACATATGCAGAAGAATAAATTACAATGTTGTTTAAAGTTACATATTAAATTTGCAAACATTGTTTTCAGAGATAACGTTTTTTTATTTACTGCTGATTAAGCACATTATTTTTAGCGAACTCGCTTATCTATGAATTTAAATTACATTTTTAAGGTAAATGAACGAATGAAATTTAATATTGACCACCAACCTCGTACAACTGGATTTTATCGTAAATAAAATTACAGGAGTATTAGAAGATAAAATTTATTTGTCCAATATAAATAAAATAGATTAAAAATAGACTGTTGTACAACCAACACTCTCACTCTACCAAACCTTGCACTTTTTGACTGGATTCATTTTGGATCCTTCAGGGCACATGAAGTCTTTCGCGAAATCATCGGAATTGCCCATCGGCCCCCTAATCCTAAACTCCCCTGGGGAATGGTACCCCGTCAAGATTCTTAATTTTAGAGATTCCGGTCGGTACTTCGAACACCAAGTGTTTCCAGCCGAAATCCAAAACATTTGGTTTGCGGTGTACTTGAGGCCTGGCAACATGGGTTCTTCGCCATTCTTTTCCACCCATTTGAGGTACGCTAAGTAGGCTTCTTTCAGACCACCGTTATCTGCTATGTTTTCTCCTTGGGTATTTACACCATTTAGCTTTAAAATAATAAAAATAATTATTTAATAAAAAGTAATTATGAAGATTTTAATTATTGGAACATTCAAAAAATAAAACGTGTAAGACTTAGTTTTTGTTTCTTTTAATTAAAACGTATGTTTATATATTATATCGTCATATCCCTGCCAAAAGTCACTAACTAACATTTTATTATTGAGCTTCAAGATAAAATAAATAAGCAAATAAATATATCTATTACATCAGTTTATAAACTAAGTATAATATTATTCTGGGCATCTAGTGGCTTTTAAATATTAAATATATGGTAAATAATTTACTAAATTTGTAGTTAAGTACAATTTGTTAACATTTTTACAAAATGTCAGTTAGTGACTTTTGGCAGGAATATGACGATATAATATATATAAGATACTTGATAAGATATTAAAAATTTTATTATACAAATTTTTAAGACTAAACTTTTTATAAAAATCAGTATGGGCAGTATAATCTGTAAAATATATTTTATACTGCATCAAGCATGATTGTTAATATTTACATTCCATGCATTTTCATGCATTAAATTATTAATAAATCTAAACTAGTAATATTAAAATTATTAAACAAATATACATACCTTAAGTAAAAATGTTAATATTACCTTTTTAATATTTACAATATTTAACAATTACCTAATACATATTCCCATTACATACATTCCCAACATGGCACAAGCTATAAACCCGAACAAGTACATATTAAAATATATATATATATGTATATATATATATATATATATAAAATTATTAAGGATTAGACATCACCACAAAAATTCATGCATGCATACCAAAATGTTAGTAAAGACGATAACCAGTTTTAATAAAAAAAAAATTAATGTTGAATTACTTTATTTAAATTTACACTTAATATTACATAAAATTTAAAAATATCGCAATAATAATAAAAAATAAATGAACATTTTTTTAAATACTGTTAGTTTTTATATTTACATTAAAAAGTATTAACATGAACAAATCATAACCAAAAATGTTTTTGGTACAATTAACCAACCTCCAGTAGCGGCTGGTGGATTTTGGGTATACCGATATCTCAATTATTAGATATGGGACCCACACCAAATTTATATGAGTTTATAATGACATTAAATAAACAAGTTCTGCGGACGTACCGGCCCCATGGCGCCCCCAATAAATATAATATAAATTTAATTGGTGCAATTTATTATTTACCATAATTTATCGACAAATTTCAAATTTCATTTAAAAAATCCAAATTATACAGATTTTATATCATTTAAAATTTTTATTATTCCTTTGAAAAAAAATATTAAAAATTTAAAAGGGTATGAAATCTGTATAATTTGGATTTTGTCGATAAATTATGGTAAATAATAAATTGCACCAATTAAATTTATATTATAATATTGGGGGCGCTATGGGGCCGGTACGGCCGAGCAAAAAGTTATATTTTTTTCGCAAACTTAAATTTAAGTTGTTTATTTAATGTCATTATAAACTCATATAAATTTGGTGTGGGTCCCATAATTGATATCGGTATACCCAAAATCCACCAGCCGCCACTGCCAACGTCTTGTAATTTTAATACAAGTTTTTTTATTCTTTCAAATTAAAATTTGAATTAATATACAATTTTCTAATCATATTAAATAATTTGTATATTTACTATTTACAAAAAATTGATCTCTTTCTCCACGGCAAATGTCCAATGAGAAGACAAGATTTTAATTTTCTTTTTCTTAAAAATTAATTGACACTGACATTTGTCATCGAATCTATGTTTATGGTAATTACAAAAATAGTAATAAATTCTATAATAAAATTAGAAAAAGTACAGTGTTCAACTCTAGAAATATAAAAATAATAAAATGGTTAAAATTTTAATATTTAATTGTTTTTAGACAAAAAGTTTAATTAAATTCAATATATGAACAATTAAAAATGGTAAAATGTTGAGGTGGTACAATAATTTTTTTGCTTAGTTTATTCTATTGCAAACATACTCTAATACTCTAATTATTTAAGATTATACGGTTTTTTGGTAGTACAAGAAGAGTCTGTATCTATTTATTAAAAACTCGAATAAAGTACAAAATCAGTCAAAAATATCTCAGATCAAAAATCGAGATATGTATACTTTAACACAGTATTTATAATTTATAAATAGGTAAGTGTTTTTAAATATAGAAAATTAATTAAATACGATTAAATATTTAACATATTTTTTAATACTATTTAAATTAAATTATATTGATTTAAAATATCTACAGATCATTTAAATACCTAATACTTAACTAATTTTATTTAGCAATTGAGATTCTATCGAAAATATTGAAATAAGATCAATTAAAGGACGGACAGATATTATTCAAAATGTCTTCATCTTTGTGCTTGGAAAAACTCTAAAAAGCTTGCAAAAGCTAACGTGATCGTTTAACTTAGCTACCATACTTTGCACTTGGTTTCCGGGTTCATCTTGGAACCTTTGTTACACTTATAATCTTTGGCAAACTCTTCCATGTCGCTGAAAGGCCCAATGACCCTAAAATTATCCGTGGAATGCTCGTCGGTCACTACGATTTGCTTTAACTCTTCTACTCGAGTCTTAGAGCACCAAATGTTTGCCGCAGACACCCAGAAAAGTTGTCTTCCGGTGTACTTTAATCCGGGTAAAAGTGGTTCTTCGCCGTACTTCTTTACGTATCTGTCGTAGGCAAGATATGCCTCTTTAATGCCGCCTATGTCGGCTATGTTTTCTCCTTGAGTGTTAATGCCGTTTAGCTAGAATACCAAGCCGAATGGTTAATAGTGGTTAGTGCCACCCATGCAGCGAGTTATAATTATGTGGGCGTATACATGCTTTAGCTTTACACAATAAACGCCCATGAGATCGAAAATTTAAATCAAATCACAATGAAGTTTCAGTGTAGTATAATTTTAGGGAGATTTGAAATGAAATATGTGTTATGTTGATTCGGATAAAACGTTTTGTGCATAATGAACGGTTTAAAATATTAAAGAACACTGTAAGACAAGTAGATATTTAAGAATCTTAAATGATGTATTTGTTGTGCATAATATAAATGTAAATATATTTATAATGTAATATTAGTTGCCATACATTTTAAAGAAATATATTTTGCTTGGATTATTATACGGCCCAAATAATTGATCACCACCACAACCCCATGCTAAACCTTAAACCCTTAAACTAACTACAACAATCCAAAATAAAACTCACATTTAGCTTCAGCTCTGGAACTGTGTAGTTTCCGTATTGGTCGATGATGCATTGCGCTCTTTTGACGAAGGCGTTCTTGGTTTCCGGTTCCCACCAGTCGACAAGGTTGCCGTCTTTGTCGAACTGTCTGCCCTGGTCGTCGAAGCCGTGGGTAATTTCGTGACCTATAACGAAACCGATGGCCCCGTAGTTCATGTATCTTGGACGGTCAGCGTTGAAGAAGACTCCTTGTAAAATACCGGCTGGGAATTCTGAAAATAAATTCGTGTTTAGATTTTTAAACCAAAGTTTCGTAAAGGTAATATGCAATTTCGTAAACATTTTGTTAATTTTAAAGGTTACAGATTATTTTGTTAATGTTTAACAAATTATTTCGTTGAAAAAGAACACGCGATTTCAGGCAGTAAAACAAAACATTTCCCACTGACAATATCAACAAGTTCAACTGATTTCAGCGTCTGCAACTTATGTTTCAGCTTACTTTATTCTAATTCGTAAAGTGTTCCTAACAACTGTCCAGAGTGTATAATATATTACCAGAAATCTGTTATCATTGTTATTCGGATTCCTTATACCTATTTAACGAGGTGAGTGCGAAGTATCCGAAAAAAGATGCCATCAGGTTTTCAAACTGAAATGAGTAGTATTGTAGTAGTACTGATAATTCTATTGAACCAAATTTCTTTATAATTTGATGATTTCAGAATGGTGTGTTATTTAATTTCGTGTATGTTATTTGTAGGGATGGGATATTTAGGTACTAAAAACTGAAAAATAGGTAACTAAAAAGGTACTAAAAAAAGCATTTTAGGTTAAAAAAAACAGCATTTTGGGTAAAAAAAAACATTAAAAGTTCACGTTTCGTTCATAATTTTGTTTAACCGCATACCCAAATACAGAACATACCCACAATAAACTATTTCTATGCAATAAACTGTGTTTCACTGAGTGACACTCACTACACAGAAGTTCTATGACAGAACATAAGCTCACTACAAAGAAGGTAACTGTAAAGAAAGTTACTGTTACAGTCTGTGACCATAAGAAAAAATTTTATACCGTTGAGTTGCACGCCCTGGATAAAATATTGGGGCAAAATTTAAAAAGAAAACAAAAAAATAAAATAAGTAAAAATACGTAATAATAGATAACGAATAGGTGAAAATAAACTGACAAATTAAAAAATATGTAACAAAAGTATAAAAAAGGTAGTTAAAGCAAAAACCTTCAAAAAAGGTAAAAAAGGTGAAAACAAGTTAGGTTCATATAAAAAAAAATCTTTTAAAACACATTTTGGCATTATTGGTTTTCAAATAGTTACATCGGTTGAAAAAAGGTAAAATAACTAAAATCCCATCCTTAGTTATTTGTGTGTTCCTTTATTTATGTATGTGTTAATTTTTTTGTTTAGAAAATTGATTAATAAAGCAACATTTCTTATCAAAATTCTTCTCATTTAACTTCCCAATTTCCAACAAATACTTTTGTTACTGCGTCTTATATTCGATCATTATTATTTTTATAAAATACGTTTTCAACTACAACTATACCTTTGTTTTGTTTTTATGTTATATATGCTAATATTATTAACAAATATCTACTTACGTATACTGTTTTCAATGGAAGAATAATAAGCATTTACAACAGCAGGTCTTCCATGGGTGATCCAGTCGGTTTTGTTCACTGGTTCTCTTAATCTTTTGAAGGAGAATCTGGTACCAAACAAAGTTAGATTCAAGATGGATCTTAGGTAGTTATTCGAGTCCAGCTCCAACTAAAACAGGACAACATAACATTGACTATTAACAAATTTATTTCATATTTACATTTCCGTAAAACTCTTCCAACTTTTTATCATCCATGAGTTCATCTGGGTATCCAATGTGCGTTGACATAGATTTAGCTTTCTCCAAAGCGTTGACTCTGGTTTTGTCGTCCATCCATTCAACATTCTTCAAAATATTAAGGAATTCCGCTCTGATATCTTTAACCATTTCCATTGCACTTTGACGAGACTCTTCGTTGAAGTATTTCCGGACATACAAAGCTCCAGAGGCAATTGACAAACTAAAAAAAATGATTTTTTTTATTATATATTTACTAATATATCAGGCGAGTTCGCGTCTATTTGTCGCTGCATGAGGCGAGAGAATTGGAGCTTGGGCTTGCTCTAATTGGTGGTTTTATATCACATAACTGAAGATGTGGTGGATGGAAGTTTCAGTGTTTGGGTTTTGATTCTGATTAAATTATTTAAAACTGTGTCTGATCTTAAGTTACAATTTTTTTGCGAAAATATTTATAAACAAAGCTTATTCTGTGGGGATTTATTTCAGTAGGCTGCAAAAACAATTGGAGTTCAGGGGATGCGCGGAAAAAAAGCTATTCTATATTAAAGATTAATCAACTCAGTCCAAGTATATGTTCATCTCACGATTCCGCAAGTATAGATACTTTTTATTCAAGGATTAATTTATCCTTATTTGTAATTTAAATGAATACTTATTTGAAGGATATAGAGCTTAATTTAACAATAAGTATTTTTTAATAGAAATGTTATAATTTTTGGCGATACAATATTTACTTTTGGATTAAATATAAGGTATCTTTATGTAAGTTAAGCAATAATTGCTTCAAATAATGTCTCTTCTTTTTTTTAACTTCTGCTCGACTTTAAATAAACGTTAGGATATAATGATATAATGTTTATTTCAAAAGGTAAAGAGTGGATTGTGCTATATCTTTTAAACTAAGACTGAAAGAGAAAAATAGATAGGATAATCCACTCTTTACCTACCTTTTAAAATAAACATGGTCATTATATCCTAACCTTTAAAGTGGATTGCGCTATATCTTTTAAGCTAAGACTGAAAGAGAAAAATAGATAGGATAATCCACTCTTTACCTACCTTTTAAAATAAACATGGTCATTATATCCTAACCTTTAAAGTCGAGCAAAAGTTAAAAAAGAATAGACAATATTTAAAACAATTATTGCTTAACTTAACCTGAAAAAAATGATATTGGTATATAGCATTGTCTTTATTACATCTTTTTTACAATGTTTTAAATTTAAACTGAAATGATTTTTTCAAACCCTCGGACACCTTCATTTTGTTTGCGAGACAGACATTTTTTTTGCTATGGCCTGTTTAACCAAAATTTTTATTCGCACCTATAATCTAGAGGTAAAATAAACCTAATTGTTTTTTATGTGATTCTTCGGCCAACCTAATATCACTCCAACATCTAAAATTCAATATATATTATATAATACTACACACTTAAATATAATTATGTAATAATTATTACCTACACATACATTTGGTGGTTAATTCTACCAAATTCCACTAATTTAGCAGCCCTTTCATAATTCCAAACCAAATATTAACTAACACAAGAAACAATCTTACTAATATTTACTAATCTTAGAATAAATATAATTATATTTATATCCAGTATAGTTTTATATCTATAAGAACAGAATAGAGGGAATTTTCCAAAATTTGGTCTAATCGATTGTTAATAATATTTAGTTTAATGTTAGTTTTAGCTTTGACAATATTAGGTCAATCATCTTGTTTCAACTGTACTTGATTTTAAGCTAAGAAATAAAATGTATCCATATAAATATATAAGTTCCAGATATATATTTTAAAGATTTAAAAAACCAATTTATGTTTTTGAGTTTCGCAATATTACCCCATGTAGCCTCACACTCCTATAGTCGCAAAATTTTACATAGTGCGATGGTGGTGTAATGGTCAGCATAGTTGCCTTCCAAGCAGTTGATCCGGGTTCGATTCCCGGCCATCGCATAATTTTTTTTTATTTTTTACTACAGTAATTGTAATAATTTATGAAAAATAATTCCTCATTTACAGTTTGTTTTGATCAAATTCCACCATTTTTTCATAATTTGGTTAAAAAGAAATGTATAATTATGGATAATTAAAAGGAAACCCTACCTTCCAGCTGATATATCAATACATTCCTTCCATCTTGCTTCACGTTCAGTCCTTCCAGTTACGATGGTTGTGTAGTCCAACTGCCTTTTTCTTAATTCATCTGTCAAATAAGAAACTGATGTAGCGGCGGCTCTCCACATGACGTAATTTGCTTGTACTCTAAGAAGAAAAACAATTAAATGACAATTTTCATTAACATTTATTTGGTATACCTTTTTGGTGTTCTGCTGATAAGCCTTTCGAAATCCGTGACATATTTTGGTACATTCACCACAACAATTTCATCGGGTTGAATCGACGTATCAGGAGACAACAGGTTGTTCATGTACTCCAACCAAGGGATGCTGGGGAATTTCCTTTGAAGTTCGTCCATTGACATTGGATTGTAGAGAGCGGTTGCGTTACGGCGTTTTTCACTTGGCAAAGAGATCTGCAAAAATATTTTATTCACAATTTATTGAGATTGGTTATTGGTTTTGGCTCACCTCGGCCATTTTTATTTCAAACTCCAATGATTCTTTTAATTCGGTGAGTGCTCTCTTTCTATCAGCACCAAACATAACAGATATGTCCACCATGTAGTCAAAATAGGCTTTTACCAGTTTTTCATCCATTCCTTTAATCAAGAATTCTCTTCTCAAACCCAGGGAGGCTTGATCCAACTATAAAAAAAATATATTTTTAAGTATTTTTGCTATAAAGTAAAGGCCACTCAAACTTTTCATTTCTCAACAGTTTTTAACAACTCTGCTTATCAGTATAAATAAAAAAAATCGCAGAACGCAGTTAAGGGTTCCAAAAATATTATGGCAAAATAGAGTTGGCCATTTATTGGTATTTACAGCCTTAAAACTGTTCAATTGAAGATTAGAGAAATCTTATTTTCGGATAAATCCAGAATTCGTGGGAGATAAGCTAGACTCTAAGCTGTACGATCGATCCCTCAAGGCAAAGGAGGAAGTGTAATGTTTTGGGGTGGCTTTATGATTGGTGAAAATATTCCTTTGATTCCCATTAGACAATCCCTAAGGGTCCAAGGTATATGGATTTAGTTCTATACAGGATAATGCACCTCCATTTACCAGCAGAGTTGCCAAAAATTATTTGGAAATTGAAGGTGTGACAGTTAGAGTGGCCTTTTTTTTACTGGATCGTAATCGAATTGAAAACTTGTGGAATAAGGTTAAAAGAAGGGTTATAGCTCGTCCAAATAGCCTGACAATACAGAGAAACTAATACAAACAGTTTTAAAGGGGTGAGGACATGTTTCCCAAGAAGAGAACTAGTTATACGAGGTGTGCTCAGAAAATAACGGGAATTGTTCAATTTCGCGGGTTCGTAGGGTCCGGTTGTCATAAAATTTTCTTTATTATGTTGGTATACATGCCCCCGAAGTATGATAAAAACTTTAGCTGTTTTCATTTTTTACTTTGTCTGTGGCAGCCGCTAAGGTTAGACGTGTTTTATGAGCTCGGCGATTTTCGTTCGTTTAAAGAAATGGATCAAAGAATTTGGTATCCAATTTTGCCTAAAAAATGAAATAAATTCTGTGAAATGTTAACAAAGGCCTATAGTGAGTCTGCTATAAGTAAAACAAGAGTTTACAAGTGGTATAAGAGTTTCCAAGATGGTCGTGAAGACGTTGAAGATGACGAACACCCCGAACGCACAAGCACATTAACAACCGATAAAAACATGGGAAAAGTGGAAAAAATGGTTATAAACCATCAGAGAAGTCGCTGATGATGTTGGTATATCGATTGGCTCATCCCATGAAATTTTTTCGAATGTTTTGGGTATGAAACGCATGGCAGCAAAATTTGTTCCAAAATTGTTAAATTTTGAACAAAATTTTTGGCCAAAAACAATACTGTAATGATGCCCCAGCCTCCATATTCGCCAGACATGCCTCTGTCTGACTTTTTCCTATTCCCAAAAATAAAGACAACCTTAAAGGGCCGTCGTTTTGCAAGCATAGATGACATTAAAAGCGCATCGCTGAAAGAACTAAAGGCTATCCCAAAGATCGAGTTTTAGAAGTGTTTCGAGTATTGGAAGAAGAGCTGGCACATGTGCATAAAATCCACTGGGGACTATTTTGAAGGCGACAACATTAATGTAGACGAATAAATAAATATTTGTTTCAAAAAACGAAAATTGATAGTAGGTACTTACATCAATCACTCGTTTTGATGAGTTTTTGAGATCAATTCCAACAGAAAAATCAAGGAAATAATCGACACTATACCCAAATTTTCTGAACTTGTAGACAGACTGTCTCCAATCAAATGTGCCTTCGTTCCAGTTGTCTTCCAATAGAGGCCATCCTCCCAAATCTTTTAAAATAGAATTGATGGTGGTCATACCTTCCTCTTCAATTTTAGTTTTGTTCATGCAAGCTTTGTAAAGTTTTTTGGTGAGCTGGAAGGGTTTTGGTTCGTTTTCGCTTATAGGCTCCTCAATCATAGTCCTCAGTTGCTCTTGCAGCATATCGCTGATAATACTGAAGGAGGTGACCGACGATTTGTCGTCGGGGATGTTTGTTTTCTTCTGGAAATTACCGCACGAAAATTGATAAAAATCGTCGCAAGGGTCGACGCTCTGGTCCATGGCTTCCAGGACCCGCGAAGCCGTGTGGATGCATCCAGCTGATAGACAGATTTTGGACTGGGCATTTTTGGAGTCGGATGGGTATGCGTTAATCACTGCAGGATTTGTGTTTTGCAGGGGTTCTGCTGTAAAGGAATCTGAAATGAAAACAGTTTTTTAGATTTTTTTTTTGTGGTATCTCCGAAACTATCAGCCCAAAAGGTATATTGCTGAAATCACAATTTCATAATCTATTTGAATCTCCAAAAAAAAGAGGCAGATTACGTCAGAAATTCTACAAAAATGGCAAACAAAAATTTGTTCCGTACTTTTGTAGGAATTTTGTTTTACATTTAAATGTCAATATTAAAAAAACTGCATGTCAATGACCGACTTTCTAAGTTTGTTGCAATTTCAAACAGCTTACAAAAAACTATATTGGTTTCATATAAGGCAAGTAACTTATCAGACCTGTATAATTATAATTGCATACCTTTAGGTTGGCATTGCTTTATTATTCGCAATTAATTTATCGCGACAAAAAAGTTTTCTAAAATGTGTTTTTGCAATGTTGCTAATTACTAGCCTACTTGGTTAGGAAATTAAATATCCGTTAAAGTAAAGAAAATGCAAGTGATATATTGACAAATAAACAATATCCTGCCTATTAAACTGTGCCTAAATATACTAAACATTGCATCATTTTCTTGCTAAATTAACTGAAGGTACTTTACCTTGGACATGTTACGTAATTTTCAAAAAGAGGAAACAAAAATTTTAAAGCATTAACACCAAATTACCCGTTAAAGTAATTGAATAATTTTACGTAAACGCTGTATTTACTTTGATGCCTCCTAATCCTGTTAAAGCATTGTTTCCTTAATTTTGCTGATTTTAGGAGATAAACTTGATCATGGAATTGCAATAGTGCGCATCGTTTGCTTTTATTCTTAATCTTAATGGGAAGATAAAATTATTACTAACGTATTTTTAATCAGAACAAAGTTTTAAATAGGTAATTGTCAATCATACAAGGAAATATATTACATTATATAGGATGTTATTTAAAATTTGAAGGATCCTAAATTGGGGTGCAAGGCTGAACTTTTAAGGTTTTCTTTTTCACTATTATATGATAAGTACCTATTATTTTAGATTATTGATCAAATTTATTATATTACATGAACACTTTTGGTATTTTAGACACAAAGGAACATATTTTAATGTTAGCATTGTTTTCTCCTAGTTTATTAATGTATACAATTTGTGGTGGGTACTTACTTATTTCATGGTTTTTTTGGTATATCACAAAAGCAAGGGAAATTCCCAAAGAAATAACAACTAAAGTAATAATTCCTACAGCAAGGGCAAGTCCCCTTTCTAACCCCGTGCGTCTTTTCCACCAAGTAGGATTTCTGAAAACAAAAAAAAAATAATATGTTATACCTCTATCTATTGATTGTTTTTGTAGAAATACTTTTAATATAATATTAATCAATTTACACGAACTTAACTAAGTAACTCACCCAGTTTTAACTACATTTGGTATACAATCATTGATTGTTTCCTTTTGTTTAACCCTAACATAACTTTTTGATGTCATATTTACTACAAAACCAAGCAAAAACGCTTAAAAACAACATTTACAGGTAATTTTAATTTTAAATTTGTAGATAAAGGATAGATAAATTAGGTTTACAAGATAAATAATTCATTAATTTTTGTGTGTAAATTTAGATTTTAAAAATATTGGGTTTTAAGATAAAATAAGTAATTAAAAATGAATTTATGACAAAAAATATATTAAAGTCAAAGAATATTAACAACAAAAAATAATAAAAATAGTGTGTTATATAAATGTATTAAATTTTAAGATAATATAAGTAATATAAGTAATCAAAAATGGATTTATGACAAAAAAAATAATATTTAAAATCAAAGAATATTAAAAACAAAAAATAATAAATAATAAAAATATTGTGTTATATAAATGTACCTATTAAATACTATAATATGATATTAATATCCCAGAATATTTAAATTTAAGTAATAAAAATACATTCAAAAAAATTTTTCAAATTGTTGTTAAACCTGGAGCCATAAACTTTAAGGCCCGTTATTTCCAATGCGAGTAAACTTTCGTGTTAGTAAACCTAAGATTAACTTAAACTCGGAGTTAACTTGAAGTTACGTTTTTATGGGTTTTTCCAAAGATTTTGCTACCCGAGTTTAGTAACTCTAAGTTAAGAAGTTTATCTTTATGTTGGTATCCGTGATTCTATTATTATTTCATGGATAAATTGGGCAGCCATTTATGAACGGTCTGATAAAGTGCGTTGTTTATTGAGGTTGAATTAAAATGTATATTTTGTTGCATACACAGAAAAAAGTAATCTCTTGATTTTACTATATTTGGCTTGGCTCAAATAAATTATTTATTTCGATATCTACAAGAAGATATTTATTTAGTGGAAAACTTGGGTTTATTTGACTTTTTAAACTGATATTTGGTTAGTACAAGTAAATATCTAGTTGACTTTTTATCTCAGGTTTAGTAGAAGCTTAAAGAAACAAAACCTACATCCAAACAATTTAATTAATTGCTCTAAATAAATATTTCTTTACAATTAATCAAAATAATAAGTTGTTTTAAAAAAACTTATGATTTACAACCAAATATTAGTATTTTCTTATTGTAATTAACAAGTTACTACGAATAATAAAATTTTACTTCATACAATAAAACCTGTTTCAAATAAATGCATTTTCTTAAATTAAGAGATTACTTTTCTCTGTGTACAATACCTGTATTATATCGGCAGTAAAGTTCTACTTCACTGCCGATTTTTTCTACTTTACTGCCGATTATTGACTACTTTACTGCCAATTTTGGATAAAAATATAAATATTTAAAATATTTATTATTATTAAAATATTTAATAATATTCATAATCTGGCAAAATAATTATTAATTAAATTATATCTTGTAAGGATATTAACACCACCTCTATTAATTTCTGGTAAATCATTTACTACTGGAGCATTGTTGTTTACTAAGTTAATCGCTGCCTCTTCTTCATCAGTTATTTCTGGTATATCTTCTTGCATTTCACAAGCAATATTGTGTATTGCCGCTGTAGCCACTATTAAAGCTTGTATTGTTTCAGTTTTTAATCGAAGTCCTAAAGCCAATCCCGGAAACCTTCTTTTCCAAACTCCATAAGATCTTTCGACGACATTGCGTGTGCGAATTTGTCTCATTGTACAAATTTTCTGCTACGTTTCCTGGTTGCCTCAGTGGTGTTAAAAGGTAGAGCTTTCACTGTCACCAACGATGATGCAGTTTCTAAATTGTCCCCTTTCGAATGACTGCAGAATTGTAGAATTTCGAAATATTTGAGCATCATGAGTTGCTCCTGGCCAGCGGGCAACAATATTCCGTATCTTAAGATTTGCATTAGCAATAGTTTGGACATTAATTGAAAAATACTGTTTTCTGTTTCTATACATTTCAGCAAATTTTCCACCAGGGGATTGTATTTTTACATGGCTACAATCAATGGCCCCTATACACATTGGCAGCCTTGCAATATTAAAAAAATTCGTTTGACATTTAGCTATTTCCTCAGCATCAATCGGCATTCTTATATAATGTGGTCTCAGCCTAGCTATTGCGTGGATTACTCGTTTGATTGTTTTACTAGCAGTGGATATGTGTACCCCACAAAAATCTGCTACCTACTACATTTAAAAAAGATCCAGTGGCTTAAAATCGGAGGGTCATTAATAACTGATTTTCCGCTGAAAGTGCGTCATTTCTGTAAAACAAATATTTATTTTCCTTACAAAAACATTAATTTGTAAATTTAGTTATTACCTATCACTTGTATATAAAATAACATTCTCAATTTGTTCTAATAGGTCCTCAACTGTTTGGGGAGATAAACGAAACCGCTAAAAAACTCTTTACTGTCCCATTTTTCAAAATGGTTAATTCGCTCCCGCACTACTCGTTGCTTACGAATTGGGATCTCATCATCACTGTAAGCGTTTATATCGTATAAATCCATGATACATAATATATTATGTATTACATATTATATTATATAATATTAGAGGTATAACAGTTTAATGTTGTCAAATTGACATAAGTTAATTCACAATGTCTAGGTTAACTTGTACCTGAGCTTCGAGTTAATTGTAAAGCGAGTTAACTCACAAATTAGAGTAATCCAGACATTGAAATATAGATTTTCAAATTTAACTTTAAGTTTAGATGTAACTCGCATTTAACTCGCAGTGGAAATAACGGGCCTAAGTGATAATAATTTATTTTTTTTGTGTGTAAATTTACCTTTTTTAGATTTTTAAAATATTAATTTTTTTAAGATAAAATAAGTAATTAAAAATGGATTTATGACAAAAGAGGATAATATTTAAAATCAAAAAATAATAAATAATAAAAATAATGTGTTATATAAATGTATAATAAACTCCCAAAATATTTAAACAATATAAATAATAAAAATACATTAAAAAAATAAATTTTCAAATTGTTGGTAGACCTGAAGCCATCTTGCCTAAAATGGGGCTTTTATTTAATTAAAGATAATGATATAGATAATACTAATAATAATAATTTGATTAATCCAATTGACATAGCGTCGCCTTCAGGAGAAAATTGCTTAACTCCATGTTGTAAAATTTTACAGGAGGAAAGAAAAACATATTAAAGGTGTATTGGTGTATCTCCACATTACCGCCAAAAAATTGTTTAATGGAAAATTACGTATCTCCAATCTGTACTTTATGTTAATAAAAGTAACCTTAAATTATTCATGGTACCTTAACTTTACACACTATACAATCTTTCATACTTACTTTTAACAAATTTCACTTTGGAAAACAATGGCTTTACAGAAAAAATAACTAGGCAATAACTTATACTTGTCAATGGCACTGATTTGTATTCTGGAGTTAGGCATTATTCCCTGGACGCTCCTCCACGATTGGAGATACGTATATTTCTTTTTCTAAATTTAAAATTAACGGTTTATTTTAGGACTTCTGTAACTTGCATATAAATTAGTTACAGTTTTATCTAATAGATGCCACTTAAATACCATTTTAATGAAAATGTGGAGTTACGTGATTTTCTCCTGAAGGCGACGATAGATAACATTCATATATTATATTATATTATTTGTTTAAAAAGTCACCCTATTTTTCTGGCATCAAAATTTTTAACAATTTGCCCAATTATATATTAAGGAACAAAAAATTTTAATGTTTTTAAAAGAAAACTGAAAGACTTTTTAATTGAGGAATGTCCTTATGAACTGAATAAGTTTTTAGAATAAATTTGTAGGTATTTCCGAGTATATTTAATTGTAGTTCTTGTATTGTATTTCTGTGACTTGTCCTATACATATATGTATAGGACAAGTCACAGAAATACAATACAAGAACTACAATTAAATATACATATATGTATAGGACAAGTCACAGAAATACAATACAAGAACTACAATTAAATATACTCGGAAATACCTACAAATTTATTCTAAAAACTTATTCAGTTCATAAGGACATTCCTCAATTAAAAAGTCTTTCAGTTTTCTTTTAAAAACATTAAAATTTTTTGTTCCCTAATATAATTGGGCAAATTGTTAAAAATTTTGATGCCAGAAAAATAGGGTGACTTTTTAAACAAAGAAGTTGTGTGTCTCGGTACACATAATCTTGAGCCACTTCTTATGGAATATGAGTGAAAATTACTATTAGTTGGGAAGTTATTAAAAACAAACTTCATAATAATAATAATAATAATAATAATAATAATAATAATAATAATAATAATAGGCTTTATTTCAGAAGACATATACATGTGTAGAAAACGTCAAGGTAAATTTGAAATAGACAAACATAATACATAAGAAATTACAAAATGATTCATAATGTACATAAATAAATTTTAACAACTTTAGCTAGATTATAAGAAATTCATTCAAGCTATAGAAACATTTGGACAACAAATATGACTTCAAAAGTGTTTTAAAAATGTGAACTGATTTTGAGTTTTTAATTTCCAAAGGAAGTCTATTAAATATATGTATTCCTAAACTGTTTGGAGACTTTTTACCTAAATTTAGTCGATTAAAAGGTATTCTCAGATCATTTTTATTTCGTGTATTAAAATTATGGACATCACAGTTCATTGAAAATTTACTTTTATTTAAAAATACGTATGTACATAATTCTAAAATTTGAACGCATGGGACTGGCAATATATTAAATTTCTTAAATAAATTTCTACATGAATAATCATGTGAAACCCCAGCTATGCATCTGATAATTCGCTTTTGAGAAATAAATACATGCTCAGCACAGGTAGATGATCCCCAAAAACAAATACCGTAGCGGAGCCGACTGTCTACTTGGGCATGATATAAAGAAAGTAATTGTTCCAAAACCAATACTTGTCTAAGATTTCTAAATAAATAGACTAAAGAACTTAACTTTGAAATCAAAAAGTCACAATGATGCTTCCAATTTAGTTTCTCATCAAGAATAATACCTAAGAATGTAAGGTGGTCTTTTCTTGATATATCTAGGCCATCAATCGACAAACTTAAATTGAGAGATTCACTAGGCCCATAACCCTGAGTAGAGAATCTCACGTAATTAGTCTTGGTTGCATTCAGATAGAGTGAATTATAGGAAAACCAGGACGATAACAAATCCAGGTTTGCGTTGCACTCCATCTCAAGAATATGGTTACTTTTGTTTGATAGTACAAGTGTTGTATCATCGGCGTATAGCGTGGTTAAACAGTTTTCCTTCAGGTGCAGCTCTAAGTCATTTACATAAAGTGTAAATAGCACAGGGCCAAGAATTGAACCCTGTGGTACTCCCATGCATACACTACTTAGGTTGGATTTAATTGTGTTTGTATTTTGTAGAGAATTGTGTTTAATTGATACATATTGCATTCGGTTCCTTAGAAAACTATTAAGCCAGCCGTACGCCAGACCTCTAATACCATATCTCTCCATTTTATGCATTAGTTTACCATGATCAACACAATCAAATGCCTTACTGAGATCACAGAATATCCCAGCAGGACACTCTCCCTTTTCAAGGGAGTCAATCAGGTGTGTATAAAATGCATTTATTGCTGATGCTGTAGAGCAATTAGCACGAAAACCAAATTGATTATTACTAAGGATTCTATACTTACCAAGAAATGGGCCTAGCCTCTCTAAAAAAGCGTATTCAAAGATTTTTGACAGGCTACAGGACATAGATATTGGTCTGTAGTTATCGATATGATGTTTATCATTTTTTTTATAAATTGGAACAACCTTGTTAACTTTAAGTCTCTCTGGGAAATCTCCTGCTGAAAATGAGAAGTTAACCAAATAGACAAGAGGACACAATATTTCTTCTGCAATGGACTTTAAAATAAAAGGAGGAATATCATCCGGTCCCGCGGTTTTCTTTGATTTAAGTTTATTTTTTAGAATTGATAACATTTCACAATTAGTAAAAGGAAAAAGATAAAATGAATTTATATTATTTAAAATTTTACATTTAAAATTTTTAGGGGGACAAGTTTATTAACTACATTTAAAGGAGCGTTTATAAAATACTTATTAAATTCATTCGATATAATCAAAGGATCATCTATATCAGTGTCATTAATATTAAGTTTAACATTTTCAAATGCTTTTGAATTATTATTACTATTTATGGATTTAATAACATTCCAGGCCGTCTTTGTTGGATTGGAAGAGTTAAATATTTTATTTTGATAATATTGTTTTTTTGTTTTTAATACCAGATTAGCATGCTCTTTTCTTAAAATTTTATAATAATCGATAAACTCCGGAAACTTGCATTTTAAGGCATATACACTTTTTAAATTACAACTGGATTGTTTAATTTCACTTGTTATCCAATGCTTTTTATTGCTTAAACCAATTTCCTTTGATTTTATGGGAAAGTTAATATTGAAATAATACAGAAGAGTATCGTGGAAAACATTAAAAGAATTTTGAAAATCACTCTGGTATACAGAATTCCAACTTTCATTATCCAGATCCTTTTTAAACTGAATTATTCTGTCTTCACTAAATGTTCTGCATAATACTATATATATATATATGTATATAAATTCCATACAATGTTAGTAAATTTTTATTTATAAAAGTATCTCTACATGAAGCCCTACCAGGTAGGTTAAACATTATTCGGATTTCGCGCTTTTGCATAATAAATACTCTATTTGCTGATGTTCATCTTCCCCAAAAAATTATATTATAAGATATATGCGAGTAAAAAAGTCCATAATAGGCATTTAAGAGTGATGTATAAGACATACTGTTGTTTAGTGTCATTAAGGCAAAGTTTGAAGCGCTTAGTTTTTGGCAAAGGTTATCTATATGGTTATCCCAGTTTATCTGAGCATCCACTATTAGCCCCAAAAATTTCACCTTTTTCGATATTTTTAAATTAAGGTTATTAAGGTTACTCAATCCACTTAAACGGAGAGAGAAGTATACATATTCAGTTTTTTCAGAATTTAACATAAGACGATTTCGGGTGCACCATTTTTTAAAACTGTTGTTAACCTCATCAATATATTGTTTAAGTTTCTCAGGATTCGGTGCCGATGTATCATCGGCATACATTTTAAGTTTACCCATAATAAATCTAGGTAAGTCATTTATATAAATTGAAAACAAAAGAGGACCTAGAACCGAACCCTGAGGAACACCTAGATAATTGGAGACCATTCAAACTCAAAACTAATTTCTAAACTTTAAATAATAATTATTGTAAATAACCATAAGTAGCTAATTAAAAAAAACATAACTTAGGTGTGAATTACCAAAAGCAAATCATAAATTATTATTCGTTAAAATCGTAAAATTTAATTATTTTCAACGAATTATGGAGCTATTAAAATGGTTTTATTAATTATTTTTGTTCTAAAATTTATAAAACCTTGAAGAATATTGCATGTGAAAAATTATTTATAAACTGAGTAACAATACTTAACAAAGTTAACTAAAAATGGTAGGTTAATTTAAATATAATGTTTAAATATAATGTTTATGGATCTACATAATAATTAAACTAGATAACATGAATTTTGCGTCTGAGATTAGCGTATGCAATAACTTTAGGATGTATGTTTACATTGTAAGGAATTGCTTTCTGAAGTTACGAAAACACCCTGTATATGTATGTGGGTTAAAAGTAAATAAATTTACTGGTAAACTTTTAGTACGTTAGACTTTTCCATATACTCACGAATGAATTTCAATGAAAATCTTAAAAACCTTTTACAACAATTTACATAAAACACGCTACTCTACTTTTATAACTATTCGAGATTGAAACCACTTTAATTTTAAATATGTTTTTACGGAAAAAATAAATTATTTTGGTTTTATGTTACCACGCAAAAAGCATTTTCAACTTTCTTTGGTAGACATTTTTTCTATAGGTACATTTATTTCTTTATTTTTTTGTATATTTCGATTTTAAACTATTTAAATAACCACTCTAAGAAGCTAAAATTTGTTTGTGGTGACAGGACACACTCTAAAATATGACATTTGACTACAGTTCTGTGACAGTTGCTGTCAACCTAATTAAAGCCCTTTACTTAAAACCTGTTGCTAACTTGAGTGTTGAATAATTGTATATTATATAACAAGTTTGATAAACGCCATTTTAGTCACGTTCAGTACGGTTAATATAACCTCACTTTCTCGCAATTTATAATAAAGCTAACTTCAGCCCGTGACTAAAATGCCCAAAAGCCACTGTTGCTAAGTTTAGCCCGTGACTAAAACGCCATAAAAACACAGTTTGTCAATGTGGGAGTGGATAATAGTATATTTTGTATCAAGTTTGATAAACGCCATTTTATACACGAATTTAATTTAGGCACGAGCGAGCTTGCGAGCGAGTGCTTAAATTAATTAGTGTATAGAAAAGTTTATAAACGAGGTGCATACTATACTTTTTCTACGACAAATACTTATTATTATCTTAAAATGATTTAAATCAAAAATTTGTATAGAGCGCCATCTTTGAAACAACAGGGGAATCTGTGTGTCACCGTCAAATGTCAAATTTTTACATTTTATAAACACAATTATAAAGGTTATAAATCGAAATGTATTTTTTGAAAATTGACAGTTTTTCACAGTAGAAGTATAGAAAATATTTTATGAGCACTTTACAGTGATGTCCGTGCCCGAATTTAAGTTATAGTTTACTGCCGGCGAAATTAAAAGGTCAGTACAATTTTCATATAAACTTTTCAAATATTGGCGTTGAGAAACTCTTTAATACTTTTGTATTTTTGTATTAAGATAATAAAATAATTTTCACATTTAGTATTATTTTACAAGAAAGGCAATTTATTTTAAGGATTGTATGACATTTGACAACTGTCAACTAACTTAAAACTAACTTCAGCCCGTGACTAAAAACCTGTTGCTAACTTCAGCCCGTGACTAAAGCGCCATAAAGCCACAACTTGTTAATGTGTATTTAAAACTTTTTAAATTAAAAGGTCACTTAGTGTCATGGAAACATGTATGATAAAGGGCGTTTTAAAGGTGGGAGTAGAAAAAGAATATTAATTATTACTTACTCGTATTTTTCATAATTAAAATCAATGCTGTGTAAGGACCCTCTTTGATGCATTTTTAAAATTTACCATATCAAGCAACTTATGTATTCAATGTATTCAATCCAGCATATAACTATTGCTTAAAACTGCTAGGTATTTACCAATAGAAAAAAAAACAATCGACCAAATTACATATAATTTAAAAATTAAAGTATTGTTTATACTCGACCGCACTATTTTTACTACTGCAAAAGCAATTTCCCTAATACCTTTATAAAACGTTGGAAAATATTTTAAACTGTGTAATAACCATGAATGTCAAACATAATTTTTATAGGAATGATGAAGTTCCTCTAAATATATTTTTTTATGGGCACATCTAATTATGATTATAATTGGTCTCTGATTGTTATTGTTGCTTAAAATGCTAATAAAAAAGGTAGACATGTGTCTTTATTCAAGATAAATTTAAATTAGTACCTACATTGTTTAGGTGGATAATAACAATTAACACAAATTAATTTTTATTTTTACGATTCTCTGGAAAGCTTTTGTTATTTTCATGTTTATTATAAAGAAGTAAAGTTTATCGTGTAATGTTCTATTTGATTTCTACAAACAATTAGTTACTTATTTAAAATAAACAATTATAAATAATAATGCATTTAAACTATTTTTTTAGTTAGTTTGTAGACTTATAAGTACAAATGTAAAAAGATAATAAATATTCACCAATTATTTTAATTGGGTATATTATTTTGAGGCTTTAAAGATAATTCCATTTTTATTTTGCATTACTTTAATTATGGTTATTTGCATAAATAAATTAATGAAATATTTTTTTACTCCTTTTGCATAATATTAACATTATTCACGTTATTAGGCGTCAGTGATTGGCCGATATCATTATTCACTGTTGCTCTTGTCATGAAAAATATACTTTAAATAGTATAATTTTATTTAATATTAAATTATAAAATAATAATAATAATAATAATAAATAAAAAACCGATAAGGACATAATAAATTAATAGTACGGTGACGACAACATGCCTGTAGTGTTCCGTTAGGTTACAGAAACAAATAGATGATTTATTAATATTCTATACATCACGGAAACGTACAGTATAATGTACTAATTGAATTAAACAGTTCGCATTATAATTACAGAATAAATAAAGAAACGCTAATTTTTGTGCTGTGAAATTCTTAATGGCCGATTTCAAGCAAATTTACCAAATGTATTTAATAATTTGTGTTGCTTTACATATACACTCATCAAAATGGTCTAGGGGAAAACTGTAACGAAATATATTTTTAAATTAAACAAATAAACCTTGAAGAAAATTTTTATTTTTTGTTTTAAACAAAAACAAGCCAATTTAACACATTCCTTAGATATGTCCAACAAATAATATGCACATTTTCTCTCAACAAACAATTATTTCTATTTAAAATTAAACCTTTATTTCTTGTCCCCTAGATCATTTTGATGTGTGTAGTAATTTTTAATTGGAGTTATAAAGATAATTATAAAATAAAAAAAATTACAAGTTAAAAAAATTTAAAGTTAACCATAATTGCAAATTAAATTGTTAGTTTAAAAACAAATATGATTTACCTAATCTGTTTTTTAAGTTCTAATTGCTTTTTTTTAATTTACATTTTAAATTTTATACGATGTACGTTCAATGATATATTGCTTATAGTTTTTATGTAAATTTAAAATTATACAATTTTAATAATAATTCTATAGGTCATGGTTTAAACCTTTGTTTTATTGTATGTATCCTGAATTATAAAATAGAATAACAACGAATTTTACCAATAGAAACCACAAATACGTGAGTTGTCTTAATAATATTTATAAGATATTGCTTGTAGAAGTAATAATTACTAATAATCATTATCCATTTAATAGGTGGATATTAATGCATTTCTTGTACAAAAATACTTTTTAATCATTATTAATTACCATTTTAATTACATTGTTTTTTTTTATATAAGAAAAGGGAATATCTAAAATATATAAATGGTTTTAGTCCTTAATTTTATACGATGGTAGCTAGGACTTTAACAGACCCCCAGGAATCCCAGAGAATTTTTAAAAAAAATTGCCTTTACACTGAAAGAAATTTGTTGCTAAAAGTAAATACAAATTTATACTAAAAATTTTATACTAGTGCTTTACACATTTATACTACTGTTTATTATGAATGTATGGTAAATTTTGTAATACATTTATTGTAAAGAAGATATGTTAGATCTAAATAAAAATAAACTTACCCTTACTATAAAATGTAAACTATAAGTGAATTACAGCAAAAAAATATTGCTAGAAACACCATTTATATTGCTAGGGCAGCAATAGGCTGCTAACCAAACGAATATATTTGTTTTAGCAATGTATGTGGTAGTCTATATATGAAACATAAAATATATTTGCCCTAATTATTTTTTTATTTAACTTTAGTATATATTTCTTTCAGTGTACTATTGAAATATATTTATAGAATCTATAAATATATTTTAATAGTAAAGGTAATTTTATATCTGGTAATAGTAAAGGTAATATTATATCTGATATGAGTTTTTAAGCTTGACATAGCATAGATAATAATTGACAGTTTAAATTCAAAATTAGATTCGTAAAGTTTCTGTTAGATATTTGGTGAATATTGTGATATGTATCTTGTGTTTAAAGAATTCTTAAAAAATGCCTTTTAGCCCGTGTGTGTGTTTTAGTTTTTTTGTTTAGTTTTTTTATGGTTTTAAGTCCCTCTAAATTTAGGTAACGCATTGTTGCCATGATAATTAAGAATTAAACCACCACTTTATTATTAGGCAATGTTGCCATTAAAAGAAAATATGTATCCTTTTAAATAAGGAAGTTAGAATTTTACAATTTTCCAATTTTGTCGAAGTTAATGATATTTGAAAATTTAAAAAAATAAAAAAAAAAATAATGTTTTTGGTGTTTAAAATTGGGTTCACACAATTGTAATTTTTTTTAAGACACGTTACTATTTTACAATAGTGTTTACGATGTTTTTATTCATAAAATATATTAATTTAAAAAAATTCCGACACATTAAATTATAAATTTTAACTGAATAATTCACTTCTTTGACAAAATTAAACTTAAGCTTACGTTGCTATAAACTATGTAAATTTTTATTTTATTTATTGAATTTCTTGTTAAAATTTTGTTTATTTATCAATACCAAAAATTAGACCCTTATAACAATAAACAAATACGGAAAATGAATAAAAACAAACGAAGGTTTTGTTTATATTTACTGTGACGTTCAGAAATATTTTAAATTAGCACAACTTGGTAATAAAACGGTTGTAATCTTGTTTTTAAAAACACTGCCAATAGTTGTATGGAAAAAGGATATTTTAGTGTCTTCAGTCGTACAACGTTTATTTTTAATAATAAATATTTCTTCCACTATCCTGTTGTGATACGAGTAGGTTGTATAATTATTTAGATGCATATCAGTATCCAACATAGATTTTTTAATGATATGGGTTTGTTGACCTAATCAATTTAAATTAATAGCACAAAAATAAAAGAATAAATTTCATCTAGCCGATATTTCGAATTATAATTTAAATAACTTCCTATGCTATTGTTTTTAATTGTTACCATAGCAATACGAGGTGTGTTCAGAAAATATCGGGAATTTTCGTTTTTTGAAAGAAATATTTATTTATTCGTCTAAATTAATGTTGTCGCCTTCAAAATAGACCCCATTGGATATTATGCACATGTGCCAGCTCTTCTTCCAATACTCGAAACACTTCTAAAACTTGATCTTTGGGATAGCCTTTAGTTCTTTCAGCGATGCGCTTTTAATGTCGTCTATGCTTGCAAAACGACGGCCCTTTAAGGTTCTCTTTGTTTTTGGGAATAGGAAAAAGTCAGACAGAGGCATGTCTGGCGAATATGGAGGCTGGGGCATCATTACAGTATTGTTTTTGGCCAACAATTTTAGTACCTACAAATATTGCTGCCACGCGTTTCATACCCAAAACATTCGAAAAAATTTCATAGGATGAGCCAATCGATATACCAACATCATCAGCGACTTCTCTGATGGTTTATAACCATTTCTTCCACTTTTTTCATGTTTTTGTCGGTTGTTAATGTGCTTGTGCGTTTGGGGCATTCGTTATCTTCAACGTCTTCACGGCCATCTTGGAAACTCTTATACCACTTGTAAACTCTTGTTTTACTTATAGCAGACTCACTATAGGCCTTTGTTAACATTTCACAGAATTTATTTCATTTTTTAAGCAAAATTGGATACAAATTCTTTGATCTATTTCTTTTAACGAACAAAAAATCGCCGAGCTCATAAAACACGTCTAACCTTAGACCACAGACAAAGTAAACAATGAAAACAGCCTAAAGTTTTTATCATACTTCGGGGGCATGTATACCAACATAATAAAGAAAATTTTATGACAACCGGACCCTCCTAACCCGCGAAATTTAACAATTTCCGTTCTTCTCTGAACACACCTCGTATATGTATTAAAAGTTTGTACTATAGTACAATATACTATTTAAAGTCTGGACCTAAAGAAGATATAAAAAGTTCTTTAAATACCTCATTGGAAAGCTCCAAAAAATTGATATTTGCCAGAACTAAAAAAATACTTTTAATAGTTTTATTTTTTTAAAAATACGCAAAATAATTTTTATTAATTATTCGTTAAAAATATCAAACTAAACAATTTTGTTTGACTCTTGTATGTTTAATTAAATAAAAATTTAGGAATTTTACAATTAAATGCAATCACTTGATCTTAACACATTTGGATTTGCAAATTATGTAACATTTTCAATAATACAAAAATTCAAACTTCAATCTAAAACCATTAATTATAATTATTAATTAATAATTATAATGGCAAATTCAATTGGGTCATGTAAAATTACTATTAAATCTAATTGTAAGTAATGGACATGAATTCAAGTACTTTTATTATAATTTCTTCCAATAAAATTACAATATTATGCCTGGTTATATAATACTTGTTTATAAACATTTCTATTTTTTTT